ATTATTTGAAAAAATTATCAAATATGATCGATCATTTCGAAAATCTAATCGATCAGAATCAAAAAATCTGGTTGTATATGATAGCGGTTCCAGTGGAACCGCTCTTAAAAGAGCACTTCTAATAGCGGTTAAACCTTAACCGCTATCTAACTATATTTTATTGATTTATTGATACATTTTTTCATCAGATATCGCTCGAGCGAGACTAGAGTCGCTCAAGCGAAATACAACCCGAGAATGCCAATTTTGTGCAGGGGGCGTTTCGCTCGAGCGAGACAAGTGTCGCTCAAGCGAAATACATTTTAGATAGCGGTTCCACAGGAACCGCTCTTAAAAGCGCACTTCTAATAGCGGTTAAACCTTAACCGCTACCTAAAATATATTTTAGATAGTGGTTAACCTGGAACCGCTATTATATCATTTCAATTATGATCGATCATTTCAAAATATAATCGATCATAATGAAAACTTACATTAACTATTTTTTTGAATATTATGTTTTTAAATTTGCTATTAGAGAAAACCTTTCAGAATTCAAAATGTTAAATACTTTTAAATATTAAAATTAACTTTATCAAAAATTAGGAAAAAAATTTAATCCAAAAGAGTTCAAAAATGTATTATAATATTGTCAATTTTGAGTTTAATTATATTGTTCATTCTCAAAGTACAAAAATATATTGTAATGATTTTAATTTAATAAAATATAATTTAAATTTTTAATACTAAAATTAAAAGATTTCTGTTGCATGAGGTTTCTTCACTTAAAAGATTTTGCAAAATGCCTCTAAAAATGTTTTTAACAATTAAAAACAAAGTATTTTGACAAAAGTTTTCTCAAACAAGTTTTTAACTGATACAGACTTTGATAGAACCGATTAAAATTACTTAAAATGTCAAGTGAAATGTTTTTACAATATTTTAATCGATACAACTTGATTTTAATCGATTAAAACCACTTAAGGGTTCAGGATGATCGATCAGAATGCAATTATGACCGATCAGAATCAGTTATGATCGATCAGAATTTAGTTATGACCGATCAGAACTCTTTTAATCGATTAAATCTCGTTTCAATTGATTAAAACAACTTAAAAATTTCTACACAGCGTTTTAATCGATTAAAACTTATTTTTATCAGTTAAAATAACTTGAAAAGTTTTACAAAAAAGTTTTGCAGTATTTCAATCGATTGAATCGCGAAACAATCGATTAAATCAACTTAGAAGATTTTTTGTAAAGTATTTTAATTGATATAAACGTTGTCGTATCAGTTAAAACAAATCTGTTAAAGAATCAAGAACGTATTAATGGATTAAAAGAAGTTTTAACAGATTAAAACTGCACTTTTAACAGATTAAAAGAATCTTTTAACAGATTAATTAAACTAGTAGTTTTGAAAATCTTCTATAAAAACAGTTTGGCTTGAACTTTTTTAACATACATTGAATATCATCTTTTACACATCCTTGAGCAATCAAGCAAGCAAACTTTAGCACTCTTTTCAAGAAAGATTCGCATCAGTTTTTGAGAAGTTCTTTGAAAATCTTTCTTGAGGCAACTTGATTTCTTTTGAAGAAGAAACACTTACAGCAGAATTGCATAAACTGGTTTGAGCATTCTAGTTTCTTCTTTTTCATTTCTTTACATTCTTTTTGTATTGTTTGGTGCCTGGAATTTGGGCACTAGTTTCTCTGCAGTTGGAATTTGGTTGTAGAGGTTATTAAGAGCTGGAATTTGGTAATACAGAAAACATTTCAGAAAACAAAATGTTAAATACTTTTAAATATTAAAATTGACTTTATAAAAAATTAGGAAAAAAAATTAATCAAAAAGAGTTCAAAAATGTATTATAATATTTTCAGTTTTAGTTTAATTATATTTTTCATTCTCAAAGTAGAAAAATATATTGTAATTATTTTAATTTAATAAAATATAATTTAAATTTTTAATAATAAAATTAAAAGATTAAATAATAATAAATTTAATTCTTTAAATTTAGTATTTAGAAACTAAAATTACAGTTTCTCGCTTTTAAAAAATTAAAATAAATATTTAAAAATACAAATCAAAACTATTATTATGTTAAATTTATTAAAAGTATAATTAAATCTCTATTTTCTTCAATTTTTTTAATATAAATTTTTAAAATATAATTTAATTTCAATTGAAATTTTCAATTGAAAAATAAATTCAAGAATATTTGTTATTAAACTTTTCTTAAACAATGTATTGAATTGTTAACATCACTCTAGTCTTAATTTATTATAATTTAAATTTTTAATAAATTTGATTTATTACAATTCATTTTGTTAATATTGAGACCAAAGTTTATTTTTAAAGTATATTTTAAAAATTAAATTATTTTTAAAAAATAAATTACTTTTAAAAAATAAATTGTAAAAAATATACTAAAACAATTAAAGTATATTTATAAAAAAATAAATTTAAATATAATAAAAAAATAATATTCATTAGCGATCGATTTCAATTCGATCGTTATTTTCTCATTAGCGATCGATTTTAATTTGGTCACTATTTCAATTTGTAATTCGGTCGCTAAATCGATCGCTAAATGATTTTTTTATTTTAGTATGAAATAGCCATCGATTTAGCGACCGAAATTTTGTGACGCAAAATATTGGTCTCTATTTCGGTCGCTATATAAAAAAGTGCAAAATAAATCATATTTTGGTCGCTAAATCGGTCGCTAATTGCGACAAATTAAAGTGGTCGCTGAATCGGTCGCTAATTGCGACCGAATTAAAGTGGTCGCTAAATCGGTCGCTAATTACGACCAAAATTAAATCGGTCGCTAAAGCGGTCGCTAATTGCGACTGAAAAAATTTGATCGTTAATTTCGGTGGCTAAATGTGTTTTTTCTTGTAGTGTGTTTAGTTTTACCTTATTAAGTGAGTTTATAATTATTTACGTGTTAATAATATGATATTTTTATGTATTTAATTTTATCTCATTTTTTATATATGTTTATTAGATGTATTTGACTTGTATTATTTGATTTGAATGTTTTTACAAGTAAACTAATGTTTGATAAAGAAGAGATGCATGATAAAACTAACTTTTTTTTTTTTTTTTTATGAGATGCTCTTACAAGATACGACAGCGGGACAAAAATATCGTATATTTAATTTTGTTTCGAGAATTTTTTGTGAAATTTTATTATTAAGAATTCTTTAAAAATTCTTATTTCATTATTTTTATAAGTTTTAGATAGGTTATATATGTGATTTTTTTCTTTTATTTTATTATTTATTTTTAAAAAATATTTCAAAGTAAAAGAGTTTGATGGATTACACACTTTTTATGACATTAATATTGTTTAATTTGTCAATAATACATTAATATATTTATAATTTAATTGATAAATATTTAATTAATAAATAATTTTTTTGTTATTTAATTAAAAAAATGCTAATAAATTGATTTTTTAATAAAATAAAAATAATATATTAATTATTTATCAAGAAATATTAATCTATTAATTATTATTTTTAAATTTATTAGTATATGATTTATTTATTTAGTTAAGATTATTTACTTAGAAAATATAATCTATTAAATTTCTAAATAACAAATAGGAATAATTTTATTAATTAAGTGCTAGTTTTTTAATATATTATTAAATAATCCATTAAAATTTTAATTAAAAAATATTATCATAGTACTTTTTTAATTGACAAATATTATTGTACTAATTATGTAATTAAAGATAATAATTTACTAGTTAATAAATATTAATCCATTAATTATTTATTTAATAAATATTAAAATATTAATATTTTCTAATTAATAAATGTTAATCTATTAATTATTTAATCAATAAATATTAATTAATTTATTATTAATGAATAAATATTAGATTATAATTATTTAAAATAGAAAATTTTATTGAATTAGTTATTTATTTACTTACATTACAAAAATAAATAATTCTGATTTTAAATTTAACGTAATTGAAAAAAAATTTATAACATATTCAAAACAATTAAAGTGGGGGAATGCAAATAGACAGCAAAATAAAACATACCTATTAACCTCAATGGACACAATCAGATCAATTATGAAATTCATTGTTATTTATTCTATTTGTATTCATCTTTAAAAAATGTTCTTAAATTCATCATATCAAAGGAGAAGAAAATCCAGAAAAGAAAATCTTTAAATGAAGGCTTTTGAGATGTCAAAGCATTTTCATGTGAATAACAATATACATTGCTTTGATTTTGGTTTTAGGTAACAAAAATATATCATTAATATATGATTAAATGTTTTTTTAAGAGGGATTAAGTTTAATTAAATAACAATATCTCTCGTCACCGTTGGAAATTTACTAATAATTACTGACAGAATGAACTGTCGGTAACTGCAAGAGTAGTAAATAATGTTTTTACTCATTATTGGTGGACAACATTATGTACCCAATTCAACACTCTGATGCAATTCACTATATTTTCTATCATGTGTTGCATGGATTTTTTGCATTTCTTTAATTATAAAAATATATTTAACAAAAAAAATATAAAAAGAATTATACTTTAAAGTGAAAGATATTATATTAAGAAGAGTATATTGAAGCAAAATAAGATTTCGTGAAATAGAAAAAAAATGAGATGAGTTTATTTAAATTTTGTTAAATACTATTAAAAATACAAAATATAAGTATTAAATCTTTCTTCTCATTAAAAAATATGTAAAATGTTATAAAAATTGATGATCTTTATCAAACTTTTTTATTATGAAAATGAAGACATGAGAAGAAAGAACGAGACAAGTAAGTCGTTGACCGTTTCTTTGCCTCCAAAAATTCATAACGGTAATCAACCTCTCTTTCCTTCCTTCTTTTTCTCTTTCTCGCTTCCTCTGCCCCCGAACACCCAAACGCAACCACGAACAAAAAAATCAACACGAAACCAAACAAAACGAAAGATTCAACGCAAAGCAACCACATTCAACCCTGTTTTCGCTCCCAATGCGCCGCCATGGAAGGCCGGAGAAAGCTGACTATGGACTGGAACGCCCTCAGCGATGTTGACGACGACGACGCCTTCTTCGAGTCATACAACCGCCTATCCACCGCCGTCCCTCACGACCTCGCCTCCTCCTCCGACGATGATGACGATAACTTCGATGACTCCCGCCTCTCCTTCGCCTCCGCCGTCTCCTCCGCCCACTCGCGCCAAAGCAGTGTCTCTCCCACGCCGGACCCCACTTCAGATTACGGCGTGTGGATGGCGGGCCCCGTCTCAATCACCGAGCGGCGGAAGCGGTTGCTCCACGGCATGGGCCTAGACGATGACAAAGATTTCTCGAAAGCCACAACGGTGGAAGTGGGTCACGCGGTTCCAAAGAACAACACCCCCGCTACCTCCGAAAAATCAACACTTTCGGTAACTCCCACTAATCCCATTCCCGTGGCACCTACCGTTCTGGTTCGTTCGCGTTCCCAGGGAGACATCGAGTTGTTCTCCATGGAGAGGTTTAGAAGAGAAGATTTAATCGGAAAGGGCTCGAAGCAGCGGCTGACGAGAACCGCGACGGAGGTGGCTTTGCCCCGCGAGCTGACGGGAACGAGAAACAGAGCGGTGGTGAGGGATTCCGACGAAGCAACCCCATCCAAGAGGAAGAGCAAAAAAGTTGAGGATTCGGGAGTGCGAGCGTTTTTCCTGATAAAGAACTTGGACACGGGGAACGAGTTTATCGTGAACGAGTTTACCGAAACCGGTGCGTGGAACAGGTTGAGTGATTTGCAGACGGGGAAGCAGTTAACGATGGACGAGTTTGAGAATTCGGTGGGGAAGTCGCGCGTGGTGAACGAGCTTATGCGTCGCGGTTCGAAGAACGAGGCGTCGCGGAAGCTGTCGTCGAGTTCGTACATTTCGAGGAGTTTGAAGATGAGCAAGAGAAGAGGGGTTGCGTTTTTTAAGAACATAAAGGACGTGGCAAGTGGGATCATTGGAGAGAAAGAGAGGGAGGCGGCGGCGGCTGCGGCTGCGGCTGGGCAAGCAAACACGACAGCCGCGAGCGCTACGGCGGAGGCTGAGAAGAGTCAGTGGGTGCGAGTGCGGCAGAGCGGGAAGTCTTTCAAGGAGGTGTCGGCACTGCATATGTGTCAGGAGTTTCAGGCGCACGAGGGGAGCGTTTGGACGATTCGGTTCAGTTTGGATGGAAGGTTTCTGGCGAGTGCAGGAGAAGACAGGGTGATACACGTTTGGGAAGTGCAGGAGTGTGAGGTTATGTCGCTGAAACCCGACGAGGGGAGTCTCACTCCTCTTCACCCCTCCTTGCTTGCCTCCAACGACGGTTCGCCTTTCTCTCCTGCTGCTGCTGAGAAGAAGAAGAAGTGCAAATTCGGAAGCAAAAAAGGCCCCTCCATTCCTGAATATGTTCATGTTCCTGAAACTGTCTTCTCACTCTCCCAAAAACCCTTCTGCACTTTCCGAGGACATTCCGATGAGGTTTTGGATTTGTCATGGTCTAAATCTCTGGTACGCCTACATACATATCACATCTTTTAGGGTACAAAATTCATGGTGTTTCATTGCATGCAAGAAGATAAGTGTTTTCTGTTTCACTTTCAATTGCAGCTACTTCTCTCATCTTCAATGGATAAAACTGTCAGATTATGGGACTTGGAAACTAGGAGTTGCTTGAACACGTTTGCTCATAATGACTACGGTGAGAGTGAGATGTTTGAGGCTAGTCCATTAGTTGAATATATGCTGCATATGACTTTCTTTGAGTTAATTACAATTTGTGGGTTCTTGTTTGATGAGGGATTGGATGGATATTGCAGTGACCAGCATACAATTCAATCCTATTCAGGATAATTATTTCGTGAGTGGTTCGCTGGACGCTAAGGTCAGAATATGGAGCATCCCTGAACGCCATGTTGTGGATTGGACTGATCTCAATGATTTGGTTACTGCAGTGTCATATACACCTGATGGTCAGGTATTGGTTTTCTTCTTCTTACCATTTATACCGTATAATCATATCTATCTATGCTAGACCTACCAAAAAGAAATCTCACTTTGCCTATGTGAATTTTAGTTCTTACATAAAATATATCACTTTATGATGTCGATTTGCTAAAAGGTAAAAGTTATAGTAGTTTGATGCTCTTTTCCTTTTTGTATTTGTTTATGATCCCTCTAATATTTGTTCGTATTTGCTCATATTATTGTAGGGTGTTTATGTTGGTACCCATAAAGGTAGTTGTCGTACATATAGCACGGAAGGTACTAACTACTCTAATGGTCTATATATTCTTTATATTTCTATTGAAACCATCTTGTAATCTATTAGAAATTTACCATATATATCAACTTGTTCATTCTCATTTCCTTATGGTGAATCAGATTGCACATTTACTCAAACAGGATCAATTGAGGTTCGACACAAGAAGAAATCCCAACTGAGAAAGGTCACTGGTTTCCAGGTAATTCTTATCTCATGTGCCATAAGCCAGATTGGGTTTGATGTAAGGAAAGCAAATTTACTAGCTTTGTGTCTTGACAGTTTGCTCCAGGCAAACCATCAGAAATTCTTGTAACTTCAGCAGATTCAAGGATAAGAATTTTGGATGGTTCAGAGGTCGTTCAAAAGTACCAAGGTGCTACATAACGTTATCTAAAGTTACCTTGTCACTGATTTAAAATATGATCAATTCTTGCATGAGAACAATTTCCACAGGCCTAGCTACAAATCGAAAGCCCACAAACGTAGAGAAGTTGGTTTATATTTTACTCAAACCATCATTTTCCATTACTTTTACACTAAAGTGAGCTTTTGATATGTTATGCATGCAAAAATTGCTCAAGGAAATATTACTTTGTGTGGTTCTGCATGTGTCTTGTTGGCCAATATACTGGTGTTGAATATGAACAGGTTTTCGAAATGCAAACAGTCAAATTGCAGCTTCATTTAGTCCAGATGGGAGATATATTATATGTGCCAGTGAAGATTCTCAAGTATATGTGTGGAAGCATGAAGAGCACAAAAGTGCAGGCACTGGAAAAGGTAGAAATGTGCTAGTTACCCGTGCTCACGAGCACTTCCATTGTAAAGATGTTTCAATAGCAATACCATGGCCTTGTACCATAAAAGGTGATCCCCCAGTAGTGCCAATGCATCATTCCAAAAAGTATTCAAAACGTTTTCACCCAGGCTCTAATAGTGAAGAAACACCTTCGCCATCTGCTGGTAAGAGAGTTCTTCCACCCCTTCCCAGGAAGAGTAATAGCCTTGTCTCAGACGGAGCTTCAAATTCCCCTAGGGAAGACCCTCCAGCAACTTCTCACACAGAATCTGGACATGGTGATTCATATGCAAACCTTAAGAGAACAATGCCACAGTCTCCACTGAAAGTTAACTGCCACCCCACAGAGGAATATGACCTTGACTTAATTTCAGGCTCAGATTCAGGATTTAGTGATTCATTTAGTTCTAGCTCTTCCTCATCTTGGTATAATGATTCACATTCTTCAAGTGCATCATGGTCCTCATTATTGGATAGTGGCAATGTTTCCTCCACAGTTCTTCCTTCAGCATGGGGTTTGGTAATTGTGACAGCTGGGTATGGAGGTGAGATCAGATGTTATCAAAATTTTGGGTTGCCTAGAAGGTTAAGTAGACAACCCCATCTTTTTGGAAGCTATAATAGTTTTTCCATTGGCAACACTTAGAAGATATTCTTACTTCTTTCTTCAAGACAACAACTTTTCATAGCAACCATTGGTCTTCAACATGAAGACAGATGTGGGGTTCCAACACCAGTGCTGTGAAGCATTTTAATGCATAGGTTATAAAATTACGTAAATTTTTTTTTTCTCCAGATTGTTGTATTTAGTGACAATTTTTATACATGTATAGTTGCTTGGCAAGAGCTTCACGTTGTTGTAAACTATAAATTTAGTGACAGAACCCTTGTAGATTTTTACAAGCAAAGCAAATATAACACTAAAATTTCTTGCTCTATACCAATGTCTTTCATTTATCCTTTCTTAGTCTGCAGTAATGCTTCCATGATCTCTCAAATCTAATCCTAACTCCTTTTTGGAGACCATTGATGCACATAGTGTTTTAGGATGTTAAATGATTAATGTGAGGAGTAAGGGACTCGTGATTTGGATTGGAATTTATAGACGTTGTATCGTATTTTGTTTCTGTGGATTGTCTTTCTTCTTTTGTTATTATTTTGAGTATTCTCTTAGTCCTCTAGTTATGTTTTGAGCTAAGAAAAGAGAACGGCAAAAGATTCAACATAATAGTTGTTATGAAAGAAAGTTCTTGTGAAAGGAGTGAATTATGGTGCATGCATGAGCAGAAAAATCAATATAATTAGTCGATGATTAATTAGCGTAATTTTTAGCATTTTGTCATGTGTTAGTTAATGTGTAATTTTGATGAGGACATACATTAAAGGGATTAGAGAAGAATATTAAACAGTGTTTAAAAAAAAAAAAAATATATATATATATATATATATATATATATATATATATATATATAAATGAAACTCTGTTTCAAAATATATTGTGTTTATAATTTTTATTTAAAATAATTTTTTTGGAAACTCTTAGTGTTTTTTTTTTTACTTAATTTCATTAGGCAATATATTTCTTATTTTAACCAATAATTTACTTTTCAACTTTTATTAGAAATAATTATAACTTACTTAATTAGACATTTTTATTTTCTATATATTAATTTTAATATTATCATTTTGAATGGTTGTAATATTAATAATTATTAATATTTTATTTTCTATATATTATATCTTAAGAAGAACTTAAAGTATGTTAAAATTACAGATAATATATTAATATACGTATAATTGATAAATTTTAATTATAAAATAAAACGTATATATTCAAATAAAATATTATGTCTAAGTAAAATATTATTATTTTCAAATAAATATACAATATTAAAAAATATTATTGAATAAAAACGTAAAAATAATATATAAAATTACCCTATTTATATTGACTAATAAATATGTTAAGTAATTAAATTGAGTCTAAGAAATTATTATTATTTTATTTAAAATATTATTATTTCTTTACTTTTACGAATTCACATTTTTCATTTTTATTACTAAACTAATAGTAAGGGTTAGAAAATGTTAGACATTTAAAATTAACAAATGTATTTTTTCAGATACTAAAAGGCAGAAAAAGTCATAATTTTAAGATCACCAACATATTTAACCTAAATAAATATATCGTTAGGAATTTTAATGAAATAAATAGTATATATATATATATATATATATATATATATATATATATATTAACATTAAAATATCTTTTACATCGAAGCATATTCTAAAAGAAAAGTATGTTTTTATTTTTATATTATCTTACTGATCATATAAAAGTAATTTATAATTAGTTAATAATTTTAAAAAAATATTATCCTAATAACAGATATTTATTTTGTTTTAATTAAAACTATAATATATGTAAACATTTATTTACTATGATTATAATTTTAATTATATAAAAGTAAATATTTATCACATGCACTTGAATACTTCACCTACTCGCCCTAACACGGTGTTTCTTCAACACAATGTATGGTTGTTGTATTTAGCATTTCTGCTATTTACTCAATCAGAGCAAGTGAAATGGGTAAAGTAGCTGTTGCTGCAATTGTGAGCTCATGGGTTATCCCTATCACCTTACTCGTCAATCGCATAGTTCCCGATCCATATATGGTAATCCACATTTTTTTCAAAACCAAAGGTGCTTGCTTGCTTTCAATTCTGATACGTGATTCATTCATATGACTTTTTTGCAGGATGAGATATTTCACATCCCACAGGCTCAGCAATACTGCAGGGGCAATTTTGGAAGTTGGAATCCTATGATAACCACTCCTCCTGGCCTGTAATGTTCTCTTAACATAAAATTAAAACAAATTGATCCCATTAAGATTTTTTATTTGCTTGAAGTATTGAAAATTGAAATAACTGGTTATGACTATAAGATTTTGGAAAAGAACTATCCCAGTGATTGTGTTGGGTGTATGGGAAAGATATTGATACGGGAAAATGAATTATCCTGTTTGTAACTTCAACTTACATTTTAACTTCATCGGTTTTGGTTTTGGGAGATGAGGCCTTAATGTGTGGGTAGGCTCATCTAGAGATATGGTCAAAATATAGTGAGGGCAACTCTTATTATACAAATCAGTTTTCTGGTATTGAGTTGGACTCAAACTCAAATCATAAGATAGTATCAAAGTCTATACCATTAATTGTGTTAGAAATTTCACATTTGTCGAATAAACTACTTGATATGACACTTAATCCTTTGGTCTCTCACATACTGGACTAGTTTTATTTTAGTTGGACTTTGCTCTTGTGCTTAAGTCTTAATCTAATAAATTGTTGCTAGGTCATTTGGGCATTATTGCAGACGTCTGGTCATGCAAATGTCACATTTGAGATGTACATTTTTTTGGCGTTAGGGGAGTATTTAGGAGATTTCACATCAATTAGGGATATGACCAAATTAAAGTATATAAGTTAGTATAACCTTCACCTTAAAAGCTGGTTTTTAAGGTTGAGTTAGGTTGAAACCCAAATTCTAGAAGGTTTATATTCTATGATTTTAAATTGAGAACTGGTGCGGTGTGGCTGCAATGTCTCAGTTGTAGCACCTGCTGTTGTGTTAGGCATGATTGTAGTCCACAATGGTTGCAATTTGTCATCAATCAGAATTGAAAACCTATTCCTAATTATATCTACTGCCTGTGGTCAAACTACGAGGCATATGCTTACAAATTTTCCTAGTTCTGATTGACTGAGCTGCCTTTGTTTGGGTTTGGGAGGTAGATTAGTTAAGGTATGTGTGAGCTAGATGAGACGCCACTTTTCCATGATACTAAAAGCCAAAGAAAGTATATGTCCAAGCACATAAGATATTATTCATGGATAGGATGCTGAAGAACTACTTCTAGTGCATACAAAAATTCACTTTCAATGGTTATAGATAATATCTTTGATTTGGGGGAATTGATGTGCACTTGACCAAGAAGCAGTTGTATGATTTTGTGATGTGGCACTTTTAATATTTTAAGACTTGAACTTTTTGTTGTTTGGTTGGCCTAGCAATAAAACTTTTGGTCTGATGTTGTGCTGGAACTGAAGTTGGTAACAAAAGAATAAAGACGGGGTTTTTCATTTCTGGCCGTACTTATTCTTAAACTAATGTATGATTGATCACTATTGAGGCATAAGCCACTAATTCAAGTGATTGATTTCAACTGTATGTTTGTTTATATATTTTTATGTTTCGATATGTGTATAATTCTGTAATGATTTGTAATAATATGGAAAGTTATACGATGATTTTGCTATTCAAAAGAATGAAGAAATTTGCAAGTATTGGAAAGAACCTGGGCTATTACTAGAACAAGAAATATTTATATGTTTGCTAAGCTCTAAAAGCTTGTTTTGATAAGTTGGTTGTTGTTGCTTACTAACCCATTCACATTATTTTGGTTCTTTAAGAGAATAATATTTCAAGTGCTGATCACATATTACAAGATAAGGTCGAGGTACATGGAATTAGTTGTATATTATCAACAGTGCAATATAAATCATTGAAAGTAAGATGTTCATCCATGATCCCACTGTTGTTCCTAAGCCAGGGTGGAGGAGGAAGGTTCTGATAGGCCTCAACAACCAGCAAAAAACTTGTCAAAACCCCAAACAATTTTTTAAGATGGAAAGGTATAGAGGATTAGTTGTGACTGCAAAATACCTACCAAGTTCAAATGGAATGGCTATACAACCAGCTATGGTACTGAATGTTAAGCCTTAAAAGGGACAACATGGTAAAAAAGTGAGAGTAGCAGAAATGAGAATATTAAGATAGATGTGTGACCATACAAGAAAGAACAGGATTCAAAATTTTGTATACAAGGAGATACTAATGTGACACCTATTGAGATGATAAAAGGTCAGTTTAGGTGGTCTGTTTTGTACATGTCCAAAGAAGGGTCTCTAGAGTCAGGTGCTAGTGAGAAGAGTAGTCACATGGTTTTTGATCCAATGAAAAAGGTTACATGGAGATTGTCGAAAGTCCCACATCGCCTGCCTCATGTCATTTGGCATGGTTTAAATACATGTTAGGCTACTCCACATATTACCAATTGGTTTTATGTTGGAACCTTAATATGGTATTAGAGTTAAAGTCTAACATCTTTCCAATTATTGTCTTGGGCCAAGAGTTGTTCTTTCGTTGTAGGTCAAAAGTACCATTTTCTTGGTCCGACAGGCTTCGTTGGAGGGAGCGTGTTGAAAGTCCCACATCGCCTACCTCATGTCATTTGGTATGGTTTAAATACATGTTAGACTATTCCATATATTGTCAATTGGTTTTATGTTGGAACCTTAACAGAGGTCAAGACAAATATTGGAGGGATTATTAAAAGGAACAGTCTAGTGAATAATATCCTTGGGAATTTGGTTTTTTGACTGAGTCCAATGGCATCATTGATTCATAAGCCAACCTTTCATAGTGGGATAAGACTATCTAGCCTATTATCAATCCAAATCAGAGTATGAGGCTTTTGCAAACAAAAAGGACTGAGAAAATTGAGAAGATTGTAAAATAAAGAGTAGGACTGAGTTATCTGTGCCAAGAATGTAGAGGATTCTCTTTCCAAGGGTTTCCCATTTTTATAAATGGGCTAATGTTCAGCTCTGTCAATACTTCGAATGAAATCTTCCGATGCTGTCCTAAGCTAACCCACCTATAAAATTTTGCAGCTAGATACTCTTAACTGCTATCTAATTCTGAAACTCTACAACTGCTTTGCCTCCTCGATTTTGATCATTGTGTCCTAGATCTTATCAAAGCCCAATCTTGATTTTGCAACTTAAAATTTCTGCAGGTACTATCTTTCACTTGCCCATGCTGCTTCTTTATTTCCAGGCTTTTACTCTGTGCAAGCTGCTTCATCCTTCTCTGCTACGTGCTCTACTGCTATTCTTCGATCAGTTAATGGTGTCCTAGCAGTTGTATGCAGCATAATTTTTCATGGCATAATTACTCACTTGAAGCCTAGTCTTGATGATAGAAAGGCAATGCTTCATGCCGTAATTTTATCCTTGTACCCACTCCATTGGTTCTTCACTTTTCTCTATTATACAGATGTTGCATCTGTTACTGCAGTGCTGGCTATGTATCTCGCAAGTTTGAAGAAGAATTACTGGTTAAGTGCTTTGGTAAGGTACTAAGGTATATGTAAACTTTTGTGTTTAAATTATCATCAATAAATTACAAAGTTGGAGTGATATGACATTTATTTTGTTGTATGTATAATTTTTTTTCAAATACAAATATTCTGTGGCACATCATTAAATTATGTTTTTAAATGTGGTGATTATTGATACAATCTATTTATATTGTTGCAATAGTACAAGACATATTTACTGGGAGACTTTATGTGTTTGTAATTGTTGACGATCTTAAATTGACTAGAGATATGACTAAATTGTAGTATATAAGTGAAGTATAAACCTTAAAAACCAATTTTGTAGGATTAAATTAACCCAAATCCACTTTTTAATATAATATCAAAGCCTATCTTAGAAAGGGTTGTTGGGGCTATTACACCACTTGCTATTAGATCTTTCATAAATACTTAGGCCTCAGCTCTCGGAATGCACAATTCTTGGCATGAGAAGGTGTGTTAGAAATCTTATACTGACTAGAGAATGACTAGGATATAAGTGGAGTGCAAATATTACTTTAAAAGCCGATTTTGTAGGATTGAATTAGGCCAAAATGCACTTTCTAATAGTAATCATGATGCTTAATACTGATAGTAATAGTAATAACTAGAAAAGTAAACTCTTGTTATTGTTCGAACTTGAAGACTCGTTAAGTTCACTACTTGTGTATTGAAGCTTGGTTCAAATGGATCTTTGTGTTGTCTGTTTTTCTTGTTTCGTACGTACTTTTAGATTGTAAGTTTCTTAGTTTTTTTTAGTTGGTACTTGGTTTTCTGCCTACAGTTTGCTCGTTGTATAAATTCTTTTTGATATTTTTGCAGTTGAGGAAATCCAATTTTGGAATTAATTCCTGGACCATTAATTTTATGATTGTAAAGTTATTAATATCATTTTAAGTGTTGATGACTTTATAAAGTGGAGAGATCTATTGAGCTTTTTTTTCTCTTCCTGCTTTTTTCTTGTGTTGATGAGTGGATTTATAGATACTTCTATTGACGGATATTCTTCACTGTTAGCATTTTAGCGTTGTGATACTTAATACAATTCTTTTATCATATAGATTGGAGCCTTTTCAGTTGTTATTCGACAGACCAATATTATATGGGTTCTTTTTGTTGCATGCAATGGAATCATAGATATTTCTCTGAAACATGGAAAGGATCATCCAAGAGCAGCCCACTCTGATGTATCTTTCATTAAACCTAGTTTGGCATATGCTACTGGCACAAGTAAAATGGGTTCACATATTCGAAAGCGAAAGTCTGTTCAATTTGGAGATTCTGTGGAGATCTCTTTACCCAGTAAACATGGATCTTCTCCTTTCCCTTCTTCAGGTTCAATTTTACTTGTTTAGCAAGAACCACGAGGACTATTTTATATGCATATGGAAATATATTTATAACTTATATATGGTAGAAAATGTTAATAATGTCGCATTCCCATCTTATTTGTGTATCGCTTAAAGATGATATTTTTTTCAGGTTTAGTTGATGAAATTCAGATAATTCTTTTAGTATTATGGCATAAAAAGTGGGAGCTTTTGATTTCATTTGGCCCCTATCTCATTGTTTTGGTAGCCTTTCTTTCATTTCTACATTGGAATGGAAGTGTTGTTCTAGGTAATATTCATTTTGTTATTATGTCTTGTAATTTTGTGGGCCACTAGAACCTGTTTCAAACTCATCCCAATGACATTGCAGGTGCAAAAGAAGCCCACACAGTTACCCCACATTTGGCCCAGATACTTTACTTTAGTTTGGTTTCTGTTTTAGCCCTGGCTCCACTGCATTTCACTCGTACCCAGGTTACTGATGTGTTGCAGTTGTTTTGGAAATGCAGGCCCCTTTGTTTCTTGCAGGGGTTCCTAGCCCTTATTGTTGGCTTTCTCTCAGTACACTTTTTCAGGTGTGATGTGGAATAGCAAGCAGAATCAGTTTTTTGATTGTCCACAACTAAAAGCATTGGCTATTTATTGAATTTTATAAGCTGGTTTTTCTCATATTGTTAGAAACTGAAGCTCATATTGCTAAGTACATTTACTCCTTCCTTTTTTAATTGCATTAATAAAATCTTGAATAAACACCTACTTTGGACATCTAAAGATACAAGTCTCGTTTGTATGTCATCTCGTCCAATAATAACTATATTAAAATGGTTTTTCATTCTCAAATTTTTGTTGATGTGTTTGATGCCAAAATGTTAAAGATGAAGAGGCAATCTTTAGATATTTATAATTGGGGTACGAAACCCATGACACTTTTACCTTTGGAGACCCAAAATGGTTTTATCCTTTAATCTATATTGTTAACTGTCAAGTGATAATCTATACATCATATTGCATTCAACACCTCGTGTATATTTCTTGGCTTGTTGAGTTATGTTACTGTATTTACTCTTGTGAATATTAGTTCATTCTTATTTCTAATTCAAAGTCATTATCCAGCATACCTGTCATGGTTTTATAAGATGTCTACTCTCAATTTTTTCCTCACTCTATCAATTGATTATTGCAGTGTAGCTCACCCATACCTCATTGCTGATAATCGGCATTACCCTTTCTATCTTTGGAGGAAAGTCATTATGGGTCACTGGTCCATTCAATACCTTCTGGTTCCAATTTACATCTGTTCGTGGCTCTCCATTATCCATATGTTGGGTCAGTACTAAAACTTTGCTATCATTCTTTTTTTATTCAATTACTCGGTAAATTTTAATCTACTTCTGCAAAACAGGGAAATTTCGAAATAAAATCTGGGTTTTGGCATACTTTTTGGCTACAGCTGCTGTTCTTATACCAGCTCCACTGATAGAGTTTAGATATTACACCATACCATTCTATTTCCTGGCGCTTCATTGTAATATTAACGATACTCAAAGTTGGCTCTTCACAGGAATGCTATACATTGGTGTCAATGTCTTTACTATGATGATGTTTCTGTTCAGGCCATTTCATTGGGATCATGAGCCTGGAATTCAAAGGTTTATTTGGTGACATAATACCTCAGAAACAAGAAGCTTCTGGTGAAACAGGGGGAGGGGGGATAGGGAAAGAAATATAGCTTTCATTGACTTGGCCATTTTCTTCCAATCATGTTAAAAGCTTCATCATTTGGTTTAATGATGGGAGGTCATTTTTTTTTTCTTGTTCCCCACCTTCCCTCCATGATGAAACTATGATTCCAATTTAATCCTTTGCACTTACTATAATTTTTTTAAGATACATTAATAGTGTTGTGCACTTTTAGGCCATGCACTGCAATGAGATGTTGTCCATCCAATTGAACATTAAGTCATAATGCTAATGAGATGTTTGTCCATCCAATTGAACATAAAGCAAGCAAGGCTATGCAAGATTATTTTTCTGGTTAATGATAGAGACCATGTTCAAGAGACCATGAAGAACCAAATATGGCTAATTATCATGATATGAATCCTTAATTTATTTAATTTAAATGTAAACATACTTATAAATACATATGATATAATTGATATTTATTATGAAACTCACTTAAGATGTCCCCAACAAGGATGGGTCGAGGAAGAAATAAACTTCGTATGTTGTATAGAAGGATTTTAAGAGCAATATATATATATATATATATATGGTAAAATTAGTGACAAAAATTCGTGAGTAGTGACAATTTTTTAATGTGCAGATGTGTTAAGCCTATGGAGAGATATAATTAGACCATACACTTTAAGTAAATTGAATTAAAATTTGTGGTTTATTAATGCGACTTTTTAAGTAGTCTTTATTTATGTATAATGGACAAAAAAGAAAGTTGCATTGATATTCACAAGAAGAATGTTCAACCTAATAGATTATTTTGTAGGGATTATGGTAGGTTATAAAAGAGATATCTTCCTCTAATGTTGTTGATCAAGTGTGCCACAATCAATTGGAAAAGAGAGCACCAAAAAGCATAACATATGAAGAAATTCATAGCATAATTGAATGATTTTTTAGTAACTTGTGTGTTTGTATATATTTATGCAGGTATTACATTAAATTTGGGACATATTCCCTTATATGTTTTCAAATGTTTGTATTATAGATCAATTTGTGGTTTTATCCAGAGCATCTACGACATTTCATGTAGGTCAACAAGAAAGGGACATTAAATAGTTGTTTGCACATATTAGTAAATTGAAATGTCATGCTCTGGATTTACCTAGTCTCTCTTTATGTATATATATATGGATTATGGATTCATTGACCCTCTTACTATTAAATAAAAAGGAATAAAGCTGATGAGGTTCAACATATTTGATAGACAGTAAATAAAAAAATATATTTTGTACTTTATTACTAACATAATAATATACTTTAAAAATTAATTATTATTAATAGGAGTTATAAATAATTGTTAATAATTATTTTTCAGAAGTTTTAATTGATTCTCCTATTCTCATTATATAAAAAGAAAAACTACAACTTTGATCATAAAAATATAATAGACATATATTTTAATTTAATTATGTTTTATTTATTATATAGTTTAATACTAATAAATTTAGTACTTAATAAATATAATTTATGAAAATAAATTGTGACACTTGCCTTATCTATTAATGTCACACCCAATATAAGAAATAGACAATGTTAATTGGGTCATTTTGAATTATTTTAATGTCAATTGTATACTTAACTAATAATAAATGTAAATGTTACTTTCTATGTTAATGTCAAAATCCACATAACACTTGACATTAAAACTATTCAATGATATTATTTTTCACTTTTTTTTTTAATGATGATTTGTATATACTTTCTATAACCATTTGTGAAGAAATTGACATAAAAAAATATGATTTACTATGTTGCCTTCAACAACCAAAAAAAACAATAGTTCACATTTCTAAGTTATACTAGAATTGTTTAATTAATTTATAAAACCTATAATATAATAAAATAATAATCTATAGAATTAACTTAAAATCATTAATGTATTTTTAATCTAGGGTTTCAGTTTCAAATTAACTTCACTTTGTTATACATTTGTGTTTGTGAATTGAATATACACAATTTGTAACCCCAAAATGCTAAGCCACTGGTACCAGTTCCACCATGTGAAGCTTCCATGATATCACATGAAAAACAAAAGCCATGTATAATCTATAGAATACTAAGTACTCTTTTCATCTTTGATAGACCTAAACCACTATTAACCACTATGCTTAATTTGGATTTATCTATGTGCCTGCATCTAACTTTATAATCTACAATTTCCTAATTATTTTAGACCTAATCTATGTACCCACTCTCTCATATTACGTCATGTATAGTTAAATTTAAATATTAATAATCCAATAAAATTATGTAGTGGTTAAACATTGTGTTTGTTTATTGTATCGCAAATTTTTCATAATGAGAAATCATAGTTTTTTTTTTTTTTATCAGAATGAATAATTAAATTACTTTCATGAAGTTTTAGAGTCATAATTAATGATGTTATAGGTGAGTTGGTTTGACACTTGAATGTTTTTAAAGCATTAATCTTTTATATTTCTTCAATTGTGAGCGTAATTTGAAAATGTGAGAATGGTTTACTTTTCTTTTCTTAATGACTTGTAAAGCATGGCCTTCAAAGTCAATTTCGAATACTTAATCCAAATCTAAACCTAAATCGCAACCTAAATTTTGAGAGTTTCTGAATAATAAAATGACAAATTCTTTATTATATATTTAAATCTAGTTCCTACTCCTTTACCAGATTGATTTTGACTTCTAAACTGTCACTACCTCGTAGCATTAAATCTACTCCCACAATAGTTTTTTATCAGTTTTCTAATTTCTTTTCAATAAAAAAAATACATGTAGGACACCTTTAGAAAAATTAGGATAAGATTTTAGATAATAAATTACCTTGGTTAAAATAGTTTCAACCTCGATATTTAAAAAATAAGTTAAATTAAGTTAAATAAATTGTGACCTAAATTAAATTAAATTTATTTTAATTAATTCATTTAAATTATGAATTATATGGACTTAAATAGTAGAATTATAGATTGATTTATTATTTTTTAAATAAAAATAAAAATAATATTATTTTATTAATATATATATATATATATATTATAAATTAATTTGATAAAAGGTTAAATGTATTTATTTATTTATTTATAATTTATATATTAAATATATTTATTTTAAATAAAAATTAATTTTATTAATATAATTTAAATTTAAAAAATCTTTTTTATTTTATTTTTATTTAAGTTTTTTTAATTAATTATTTTAATATAAATATATTAATAACTTTTTAATTTTAATCTGGTTAAACTTAACCTATTTATTCATTAATCTAGCAGAAAGATGAATCAAATTAAAGACCTGTTTTAAAAGGGAAGATAAATTTCATAACGTATTTTTCGCGTTAAAAAGAAGTTCACCCATTAAATAATTATCATATATATATATAATTCTATAACAACTGAGGAGAAATTCTTGTGTTTGCTCTCGTGAAGCCCCAGTCGCTATAACTTTGACCTAAAAACAAAAAGAATGGTAAAAAAATGGGAGATTAAAAATTAAAGCAAACAAATTCCCCCAAAGTTACTGTATGAATGTATAAATTTAAAGTGATGAACGCCATATTTTTCCGTTGAAGGAGATTATGACAATAGAAATGTCATCATGATAAAGACGTCTTTCCCCTTGTGGGATATCAAGCAATTCATGCAAGTCAATACCTGCAAAAGTCCAAGTCAAACAATTACTGAGATCTTTTGACTTATAATAATGAATTTTCTTCCTCACCAAACAACATTAAATCAACTCTTCTTCCTATGTTTATTAATATCTTATGTAAATAACTAATTAATACTGTTATATTATTGGTAAATATGGAATATGATGATATTCTAAGAGGATCTAAGAGTAATAGAATTTTTATAAGGATGGGAGTTTCATGTTCATGAAATTGTAGAAACTGAAAGTGGATTTAAGAAAAAAAAAATCTTTTATTTTTCAAAAGTTTGATCACTATCATTGAATTTCCTTTTTTTGTTCAAATGAAGTGAATGAAACATGCAATAAGTGATTTTACCAGCTTTTTTGGCTGCTCGAAATAGTGCTTCATTTATGAGGAGTTGTGCAGGATCTCTATCTGGAGAGGAAGTGATGAATGAGTCCACAATGGCAACTGCTTCTTCATTTGTGAAGTACTGGTGGAGTCCATCAGAACACAATATCAAGAATCTGTCACTTGGGCTGAGCCTGTGATGGTAGAGTGAAGGGGAACATATGATGTATGGGGAGTCCCCTATGTAGTTAACTTTGAAAGTTTCTAATACTGCATTATTCTGTTTTGGCTGCAAAATGGACCAAGTAATGCAGGGTCAGAAACAAACACATGCAGCAATTAAACAGGACTGACTAGTGATCTTTGTTATAGGGATGGTACAAAGGGAGGACCATAAATGTAATAGATGAGTCATAATTGAGCCTTAAGTAGCAAAGTTGGCACAAGTTTAATTGACTTCTGATAAATATATGTTCCATAATCTAATCCAATTTAATAGTTTAAAAACTTGTGGCTCTGAAACTAGCCATCTAATATGCTTTTATTATGCAGTTAAGTAACAATAATAGTGGACTAAACCAAATTACCTGCTTGAGGAAGCCAGCCCCAAAAGCTCTCGTAACATTTAAGTAACCTTTCACTCGGCCTTTACTAATTGCAGAAGGATCATCTGGGTGCTCCTTCCTGATTCTGTGAACCTCCTGAGATTTGGAAATATGTCAACACAACTAAGTAACACAAATCAGAAACCAATGTTAATGAATTTGGCTCCTCTAAACTCTTAAGGGTGAAGTAATAATAGTAGTTGATGGGAATATCAAGTGCTAATATTCTATCACATTCATGATTTATTATACATATACACATAATTTCACTACTGATTTTTTCATTCAAAACCATGCTCACTTACTTTACCCTCCAACATGACTCGCTCACTTCAGAGAACCATTAACTCGTACAGAGTCCAGAAAACATGTTGCACAAACTACATACATACATTCATACCTCTTTCACAAGTGTGCTATGCTCCATGGTGAGCTGAAGAGAAGAATTAGCACTATGACTGGCCAATATTGCACGACTGTCTCCCACATTCATCAAGTAAACATCTTCTCCCTTCATCAGCATCACCAGAACACAAGACCCCATCATAGTCAACACAGGATTGTTGCCTATCACTTCATCAACTTTCTTCAGAAACGCATCCTCCGTCTTCCTCAACGCCTCAGAAAGAGCTAGTAACACGTCTGAATGGCCAAATGTTGATGCACCTTCAACACTTAATTCTAACTGCATCAACTCTTCACAACCATTTCTACTTTTTAATCCCCCCATTTTCTTTGAACCGTTCAAAGAATCCAAGTTGGTCATTTCATTTACCGGTGTATAGTTTTCTTTATCCAAAGCCGAAGAACAACAACCATTAACCATTCTATTCCTTAATTTGGAGGAATCATTACTCCCCTTAACCAAACCCAACAACACCTTCTCCTCCAACCCCAAGAATTCCTCAGACCTGTCGCCGCATAGCATACCCTTTAGCTCATCATGCACAGCATAGAAAAGATTATCAAGAAGATAATCAGTAGCATCAGGACCATTGAACCCGTCATAAATTCCCACAAAAACCCACCCATGCTCCTCAGAAATCACAATATGCACACGATCCTCACCTGCTCTCCCTTGAGCCCATTCTAGATTCTCACATCCGATCAAATCAGGGTCTGCAACTGTAATCGAGGCCACAATGTCAAGATTTTTGAAGTCACTACAACAATTTCCAACAATGTCGAAATTTTCATTATCATCACTAAAATAAGGACGATGATCATAGTTGTTATTATCACCATCATGTAAACTCAAAGCACAACCCAACTTAGCCTCATCATCGTCACCACCAACATTATCAATACCATTTTCATTCTTTTTCTTGTACCCTCCAATGGAAACCACCCGTTTAACAAAGGACCCAGAAATCACCCTCTTGAGAATCTTCCCCACGCTTTGTTTCTCTCTTCTGTCTTCAAGCCCAAACCCATTGTCATGAGAGAAGCTTCTCCGCAGCTTCTTCTTCAAGCCTCTTTCATTCACCAAACCACCAAGCACAACAGGGCCGGAAAAGAATCCTCCGTCAGTGGGGCTCCACCACACTGGGTTGCAACTTCCCGCAGAGGATCCACCCCCACGCGAAGCGTGTTGTTGCTGCAGAGGCATCGACGTGAAGGACGGGGAGCTCTCGAACGACGCCGAGGAGTCCAAAACGACTGTGGAATTGGTGACGCTGTGGTGGAGAGAATCAAAGGTGGCGGAAGGTGGAGTGGAGGAGTTGGCGCTGACGGAGGCGCCGGAAACTGATCGGAAAGTTGTGAAGGCGGTGACGTCGTCGGCGGCGAAAAGGTCCGGCGGTCGGACATAGCATACTGAGTTTCCAAAGGGGTTGGCGTTGTTATGGTTGTGCCGGCGGGAGTTATCTCCGACGCCGGCGGAGCAGAGGCACGCTTTTCCGACACGGTTGCCCATAGAAGAGAATGTTGAATGCGTAAGGTTTAGATGTTAAAAGATATAGTGAAGAGTTAGTTTGTTGTCATTAAGATGAAAACAGAGTTAACGTTAGGAAGAGAATACAGTGGTATTAGATTTGTGTTGTTCTCTTTCTCTTTCTATGTTCTTCAAAGAGTTGACTTTTCTTAAAGTAAGAAGAAAGAGGAGGTGTTTTTTTTTTTTTTTTTGGTTAAAATTGTGAAGGTAGATGTATTTTTTTTATGTTATTTTGTGCAAAAGATTAGATTTTTGAACATTAAACACATTTCAAATTACTAAAACAATTAACTTTTCAATTATCGAAGTACTAACATAGAGTTAAGTTAACCTTAATCAGAACAAAAAGGAAAAAAAAATCTGATTAGGTTTATACATTATTTAATATATAAAGACGTTTTGAAGTTAAATTTAAAACAGATGTGTCAATTATATGTGTAAACTTGTGGCTGTGAATTTATTTTTTTTAATGTTAGTATACATATCATAATAATTAACTTTAACTCAAAACTTTATGCCATTTTATTTATTTTAGTTGAAAATTTATTTTAAACCTTATTATAAATTGAAAATCATAAAAAATAAAGATAGCTAGTCCTCTTAAATTATCTGTGATTAAATAAAAATACATTTTAAAAATTATATAAATTATTTTTATCCAAAAACATATTTTCTATCAAAATTAAATATTAAGTGAAAGCAAATAAAGTTATATATTTATGAAAATATAAGAAAAAGTAATTGTTCTCTTCTTATTAATAGTATTCGAGGTAAAGATAATTTATATATATTATTTTTTTTCAATCACGTCTTTTAAAATTAAAATTGTGATAAAAAAAATTTAAAATAAATAATATTCTAAACATGAAAATGAATTATAACGATCTTATTATAATATACATAAAAGATAATACACTCTCGTTTCTACACAAAATATTCGTAGATTCCAAAAAGAGTAATTTCCTGTGCCCAGAAAATTCAAAAACCTATGTTAGTAAGTGAAAATTATAAATAATGACATAATTTACGTTTCTATGTTCATTGTATATACTCTCCTCGTTCATTCATGCATTGTGCCTCTAAAAGAGGCCTACATCAAAATATATATATTACATGAAAAAAAAAAAAGTAGCATTTTATTAGCCATAAGGAATCCTAGAAAAGTGGAAAGGAAATATTCTTTTTTAGTCACATCCTTTTCTTGACAAAATTTGAGAATTAGCTTCTTTGTATCTAGATATTTGCCGGGTGTTCATCCTTGAATCTTTTTTCTTCTTTTGTTAAGAATATTCAAATTCTGAAGCCTTGGGTAATTTTCTTCACATATTTTGTCATTTAATCATCTTCTGATCATGAATAATTGCCCATGTTCTTTATGCCATGTTTCATGAAACCTGTGAAAAACTTACAAATCAAATTCTATATTCATGCCAGCAGCTAATTGCTGACACCTAATTACTTGAATTCCTCATCCATCGATGCTTGATATTTTGCTTTTGTAACTGGTGTCAGGTTTGGCAAGCTTGTAGCAACAAAATGCATATCGTTTCTAAATCAAGCTGATTCAAAAGGTGATTTTTGTCAGCCATGGGAAGGAAGATGAAAGATAAACATTCTGAATGGGTCAATCATCGTCCAGAGTGCAACAGGTCCCTTTTTAATGTTATTAAGTACCATCCCCTATTGCATCATTTCTTTGACAGACTTGCATACAAGAGGGGTGATGATGAAAGACATGTTGCAGGTTAGAACATTTTTCTCCTCTCGCTACAAGTTTTCCACTTTTCCATTTTGTTCATCATTAATTGCTGCAGTAGTAGCTAGCATGGATTTTGTGCTTTAGGTCAATTGTTAGGAGAAGAATGGTTTATATCTCACTAATTCATAAATGAAAATTGATTGAGTAAATTAAGTTTTCTGTAGTTTTGATCAAAACATTAGCAAATATCAAAGGAATTCTTACATCATCTCAAATTCTCATTCAGATTTAGTTGAAATCAATTGCATGTCCAGAAACTGTGATTATTTCTATGTCTGACATCTTGTGCTCATTCATATATATGTTCAGGATAAATTAAATCTGATTATTTCTAATACTAGAAGGACCTTTTTTCTATTTTTATTTTGAGGAATATTTTAGATGGACTTTACCATTAACATTATTTAGCAAATTTTCTGCATCATCTAAGCATTAAATATGCCACAAAGATGTCATTTCCTTCTAAATTTTGAAGATTTAGCTCCTAATCTCATGAAATCAATGAACCTGCATTCTCAGCTCACAGAAAGGAGGAACTCAATCTTGTGACAACAAACTCAAATGTAAGTTCTCATCTTATTTAAGTTTCTTCTTTCTTCCCTTCCTCCCCTTCCTGATAATGCCTCTTGCAGAAACATCATCAACTAACTCATTCTACCAACTTTCATTCTTCATTTTCCATAAAGGAAATATTTAGCATTAATCAACTACTTGTACGTTCTCATTTACCCTGCATATGCAGAATAAATAAATTTGCCACTGTTATTTATGAATACGATATCATAATTTTAATTAAATTGATATTGGATTTTGGATTCGTTGGTTTTCTTCGTTATGCAGAATGAGACCATTGAGTTATCGGGAAATAAATAAAAAGTTGTATCTAATTTGAAGCTTGCAGGTTGAGAAAAAGATGACACCATATTCTTCGGTGGTGACAAAAGACTCTGTGAGCAGAAAGATAAAAGAAGTTGTTTTGAAAGAGATATCAAGGAAGAGGAATAGACATCATAGAAGTTCAACCATTTCTATGGCTCCAATCAATACGAACAAGAACTTGTTAACAACATTTGTGCAAGATCCAGTCTCTCCTTTGATCTATCACCACCATAAACAACAGGTGTATGGCTCCAAAATGAAATTAACTAGGTCTCTATCATTTCCTCCACCTGACTCATTATCAAAAAGGGAAGGTTCTGAGGCTATAGACAACGGTTTTCAACCAAAAGGGAAAGGAAAATTATGTTTTGACAACAAAACAGCAAAGGCAGGTCAAGTTGAATCATCAAAAAAGTTTTACCTAAGGTCCTTGTCATCAGGAGCAAAATTTTTCAATGTAAATGAAGCGATGATAGCAAGAGATGTTACTTGTTCTTCAGGATCTGTTCAGGATCAAAATCATAATGAAATTAAACAGTTTAAGAATCTGAAACAGAAAATAGAGCATGTTACAGGAGATAGTAAAAAAGAAAAGCTTCGCGTTACTATGGATGCTATGGTTCACAAACTTCCTCAAGGCCATGCGATTTCAATTGATTTGAAGAAAGAATTTTTTAAGAAATTGTCAGATTCTATTATCACTAGAAAAGGGGAACACTATCCTGGAAGATGTAGTGATCACTCTACTTCATTAGCCAAGCCTCACCGGAACAACCTAACAAGAAAATTATCACTTCAAGAACCACTAGAAAGTTATTTTCATTTCAATAAGAATGACTTTAATGCAGAATCAAGTCACCTCCAATCTAACCAACTAAAAATAAGAACAGAAAATGAACATTCACCATTGAGGATGCCGATACCCTTACAAAGAATGCTTTCATTACCTGATCTCCAATCTCTTTCCTGTGCTTATCAGGATTGGGAGTTTCCTGAAATTTCATCTGTAACTGAGCCCAAGCCAAAAGGGGCTTCTAGGGATGGAACTGTGAGTTCAGAGAATATTTCCTACCAGAAAAAGAGTCTTGACCTTAATTTACATTCAAGTAGTCAGCTTCAGTTAGATACAACTGTAGAAAATTTGATTCAAAAATACCTTGTCAGTGTAGATGAAAATGATCTTGTGATTAGTAATATTGTTGAACAAGGATCAGACTGTAGCAGTGAGATTAATGGCAAAGCGGGCATGTCAACTGATGATTTTGGATACATTTGTTTAAAAAATGATGGCACCTTTAATGACCAAGATATTGAGCCAACAAAAAGCAAGACTGCAGTAGAAGAATCAGGTTAGCCTATCTCACTCTACTCTTTGTTTCTTGATATATGCTACTTTCTTAAATATTTGTTAAATACTTTTGCATAATAGGAAACATCAGAGTTTGAATTAAATTTTATATAATACTATCACTTTGATATAAATGCATTTATCTATGAGAGAGAGAGAGAGATAAATCATGATGTATTTCATTATCCTGATATTAAATAATAGTGTTAGTTGCATTATAATGTCTTGCATTGTTTGATTTCAGTAGATTCAAAATTGATTACCGAAGCCGGCAACAATCTGGATAACATGACTGAGGTAAAAAAGGCAATCATGGATAATTCCCTTGAAGTTAAAGAGACCATAGAGAATGCTCAAATAGTGGAGATTAAAAGCAAGCAGTTGAATTATGACATTCCTCTTTTCCATATTAACATCAGAGACAAAGCTGAGTTTAAGTATGTGAAATATGTACTTGAGATATCTGGACTAACTGGTAAAGAGTGCCTTTTAGCATGGTATTCAAGTGACCACCCAGTTGATCCATTACTCTATGAAGAAATGGAAAGTGACCTTGATTTCTGTAGTTATGGGGGCAGTGGTCAGTGTAATCACCATGTATTGTTTGATTTAATCAATGAGGCATTGTTAGAAATTTCAGGGAGGTCTTACTGCTACTGTTCTACACCATTGTCATCATCTCATTCTCATCCAATGCCAAAAGGGTGCCACACTCTTCATCAAGTGTGGACTCATATGAACAAGTCCTTGTGCTTGAGATCCAAAGCTGGCCTGACAATAGATGATCATGTAAGTCGAGATCTAGAAAGGCGTGATGGGTGGGTGAGCCCTCAACTCTACGCTCAGTGTGTCAGTTTGGAGCTTGAAGACTTAATTTTACAAGATCTACTGGAGGAAATAGCATTTGACTTAGCATGCATTTAAGGATGTTAGTTACTGAAATAATGTGCACCTTCAAAACTGCACACAGTTTCTTTCCAGCATAAAATTTTCATTTCTTAGTGTCATCCTCTGCAATCTTTTTTAGAAGCATAAGGTAGAGAGAAATGGTGAATGGATAGCATAACGACAATTAACAAAGTTATAGAGTTTGGAGTCTCTTATCCATGTTCCATATATGAAAAATAAAAATCATTCAAAATAGTTTAAGTTTGGGTATGAATCATGAATTCATTTTTAATTTTATTTGATGTCAAACCAAACATGCTCATGTACATTATCAAGGCATATATAATAAGAGAAATGAGTATTCATTTTATTAAAGTATATATAAGTAATTATGTACTATATTTTATATGCTATATATAATATAAAAGAGAAAAACACTAAGTGGTTATCAAATTATTTTCATAGAATGGTTTGTGGTATCAAGTGGTCTCTAAAATCCCTTCATGACATTAGAAAAATGATGAGTAGCTTATGTCTTGTCATATAGATTTCACCTCTGAAAATGTAAACATCTTATGTAACAAATGAAAAAATTATTTGCATGAATTAATAAATTATCTTATAATTTACATTTTTCCTTATAACATCAAGCCCGTCTAGCTCAGTTGGTAGAGCGCAAGGCTCTTAACCTTGTGGTCGTGGGTTCGAGCCCCACGGTGGGCGTTTTTGTTTTTTATATTTACGTTTTTGTTTTTTATATTTCTACGTTTTTTCTATTTATGATTTTTTTTTAATTTCCTGCATAATAGTTTTAAATTTCTACTACTTCTTTCGATTTTCCTATATAATAATACTCTTTGTTTATATAACATTGAATTTTTAAAATTATTTTTTTATTATAAATTTCAATTACATAATATAAATATTTATCTTGTAAATGATATGCAAAATTGCTTTTTAGTTTCTTTATTTATTTGTAAAATTAGATTTTGTACCTCTATTTTTAAAATTGTATTTGGTCCCTTGAGTTTTCAAAATAAATTTAGTGCTATCTTTCATAAAAATAAAAATTAAACTAGCAACATCAAAAGTCTTAATCAACTATACTACAACTTATAAAAGTGGCGAATACATTACTTAAGTTTTTTTTTTTTACTGTTTTTAATAATAGTTTTTAATTTTTTTTTTAATCTTTTAAAAACTTGTTTGATAATTATTTAGCAAAAAAATTAAAAAAAAAGTTTTTGTCTTTTAATTTTTAAAAAATCAAAAATCAAAATTGATAAAAAAAGTTTTTTTATTTTTTTATTAATGATATTTACATATTTACCAATATGAAATTATCAAAATTATTTTTTTAATTTTCATTGTGATTTTTCATAGTAGTTAATGTCATTCTTATTCATCTATCTTCTTATTCGTTTATTTCAAAATATAATGATTAAACTCGTGATTTTAAAATGTCACTACAACATTTAGTATTTTCATTTTTCTTACTTAAAATGACAATAATAAAATTTTAATTGTTAATAACTTTATTTATATAATATATTTCAATATTATTAATGTTAATGTTTTAAAAAAATTAACTATATAGATATATTCAAATATTTTAAGAAAATTTTAATGCTATATAACATTATATTATATGATAGTTATTTAAAAATTAGTATCATTATTTTATATTAGATTATATTATATTAATACATCTTTTGAGAAATAATCTTATATAAATTTCTAATCTAGATTTTTAGTATATTAATAATTGATTTGTTTTAATATTTTTCCACTTCAACATTCAATCATTTAATAAAATCCAATGAATATTCTCAAATTCTTTTACCATAATCATTACTCTAAAAAATCTCAAATATGAACAAATTCTTTTACTATATTCAAAACATCCTATCAAATGAGTTTGTTATGTACTTTTTATAAAAGAAAAAATAAACCCTTTTTAGGCATACGTTTCATCCTTCATTTTGTTTTCTATTCATAAAAATCGATGTATCATGATGACACACCAAAATATATTCTTTAATAAATTATACTTAATACAAAAATTGTGTTATTGTGATAGATAAAAAAATATATTGATCATATTATAATAATAAAAAGTTTATTATAATTTAAAATAATAATAATATAAACAACTCTTAAGTGTATAACTCACAACTTGTACATTAGATTTTAGGATAAAAAAACACTTTATTCTAAAAATTTACAAAATATGTTTTATATATTCAAAGCTAAAAAAACACCTTAAAACATCAAACACAAACCACAATAACAATGCAATAAATAATTTGAAACATTAAACAACCATATAGAAAACAAAATAGTCAATGCAAACAATAATATCAGTACTGAGTCTATAACCTTTAATATCATCATGATTAAAACAACTCTTATGTCATAACAAATTTGGGTTTACATTAAACAAGCATGATTAACAACATTATTACTCATCCATATATATATATATATATATATATATACTATCACGTATTTGTGAATAATATAAAATATATATAAAAACTATATTCACTGTCAAATGAAATATACACTACCATGTACCTGTGAATAATAATAATATATATATATATATAGATAGATAGATATACTATTCTCACTTTTAAATGAAATATACAGTATCACATCTTCTGCCTGTCGATCTTCAATCAGCTCCAACAAGATCAATGCATTCCCTACAATACAAATAAGAGAAGCTGTTATTAAAATCAAGTGAATACAAAATATGACATGTTCGATAAGATAATTTAAAAGGTAATCCTTTAACTATGTTTTTAGCTCCATTAAAATTGCATAATCATTTTAAAGAATATGACAAATCATTTACTCAATCCTTCCATTGTGATCGAAAATTTACATCCATAAGAGCATGACATATTCAATCAAAATCAAGGACATAATACTTACAAACTATGTATCTGTCTTTTGTGCTGTAGGATGAGAATCTTCGTCACAAGACTCTTTAATAGAATTTTTCATTCCATTAACACATTTCTCCATGTGAAATGCAGAATCGAGTTCTTTCTCCAAAGACTTAATAGTTGTTTGTCTCGTTCTTAATCGATATGGAGTTATGTTGGAGGCTTTACTGTAGAAAATATTACTCCCATAGCTAACTGGACTCATAGATAACTTCAAATTTTCATGACCAGAAACATAACTTGTTCTCCCTTGTTGTGAATGACTAACTGCATTTGCAAGCTTTCTAGGAGTGGCAGCTAATTCACCTTCGTTCCTTCTCTTCCTAATTATTGAAGGAGTTGGGAAAGTTTTAGCTGCCTTTCTCAATATTGATTCAATAGATTCTGAATATAATTCAATTTTGTTCACATGAGATGGAGTTACGAAACCAACAGATGACTCCATTGGAGGAGAAAAGTACTCGTTCTGCATGATATAGATATTAAAATTAAAAAAAATTAAAAAATAAAAACATAAAGATATGAATTATCAAACTGGGTGGTTCTTAACGAAAACACAGCACAGAATTTGACTTACCTTCGAATAAAAATTTCTGGTTGATCTATCACGGTTCATCAATTCACCATTATTCACATAATGTGGACTAGCATCAAGTCCACAATTAGCTGATTCCAGGTTAGTACATCTCAGATCAGATAATCTATTACACTCTACACAATCAGATTCAACATGTTCTTTTGCCAGAATATTTAAAGAATCACCAACTTCTCTAGAAGTTCCAGAGGATTTTGGTAGATTCTCGACACAGTTATCCAGTTTAGTGACATCTATAGCTTTAGATGAAGATACAATGGCAACATCTAATCCTTTGTTTGAAAGATCATGATTTGTGTTAATTATAGATGGTTCAAAAGTATCTTTGACAGCATCCTCTACACTGCTCTTTGTAATAGGTGGAAGTCTTCCATTAGCTAAATAGAAATCCCTCTTTTTCTTTAAAGAACCATTCCAGTGATTCTTGATTGCATTATCAGTCCTGTCATGTATATAAAATTTTTGTCAGAAATATATTAAAAAAACCGTCGCAACTGTTACACATGAACATTTATTATTTTACAGTAATACATTCTATATGTGTAGATAAATAGATTCTGTCTATAACTTATAATTATTACCAAAAGAAGAACTAAAATATTTTTTAATGAAATTGAAAACATTGATATCTGAGATTGGAAACTGTCAGCATACTCCAGTAAAAGAGAAGTCAATCTTTGATTATAAATAATAAAAAGATTGATAATTGCATTAGTTAGATAAAAAAAGAAATATAGTAGGATATAAACAATGAAAAGGAAAGGATAGAGATCTTGATTTTAGGTCGAAAGTAGGAGGGAAGTTCCAAAACAAAACCCTAAAACACTGCTAACAAAGAGAAAGCTCACAGGTAGAAGAAACGAGTTGTCAATTAATATTGACTTAAGTATTTGTTCCTCGTTGAACTAAGCTTTTTAAATGGTCATCACTAAGTGGTGATATGTCATGCATTTTGACATGTCATTGACACATCATAAATAAACATGCATGATGATGCAGATACTGTAAAAAATTTTAAAGACTAAAGCCAAATTTAATAATATGTATACATATTTTACTTTCTAAATTTAATAATAACTAACGTAAAATCAATATTATCTTCAATAGATAGAGTGAAGACAGATTAATATAACTAAAGAATTAATTAGAAAATATACCTTCCATTAAGAACCTTAGCTATTTCAGCCCATTTGTTTCCATGCATACAATGAGCTTTCATAAGGGCTAATTCCTCCTCCAAAGTCCAGGGGTCCTTCTTTATGTCTGGATTAAGATGATTGCACCATCTGTAAATGTTTGAAACTAATTTCATGATAATGAACGTATATACCAAAGTCAATGCATTGTGTGCATGAGGGATTTAATCTAGAGAATAAATAATACCAGAAAAAATGAAAAACAAAACTAACAAATTTAGTATAAAGCTACAAGGTGTAGTCAAATCTTGTAATAGACTAAAAGAACAAGTTATTCTTTAAACTTATGAAAGAGCTGACAAAAGCTTTTAGAATTTCGAAGGTTAAAAACATTCTACTTAAATCATACAATGAAATTTAGCATTTATCAATACAACGAGTTAATTAAAACAAAATGATAGAAGAATTTTATACCGTTCTCGGCACTGTTTTCCTATTCGACCAGGCAAAGACTTGGATATCAAAGACCATTTTGTAGGTCCATGTACAGACACCATTTCAATTATTTTATCATCCTCCTACATGTCAAGTAAGAAAAGTTTATGAATGAACAGGATTGTTAGAAAATAACAAAAGTAAAGGACCAGGTTTCAACCTCCTTAGTCCAATGTCCCTTGACAAGATCAGGATTAAGAACTTTTTGCCATCTATGAAGACATTGAACTTCAGATTTATCCTGAAAAAACCCAGCTGCAATCCACATTTTAAATTAGTTTCATGAAAAGGGCATAATGCTTTCAATCATGATCACATCACACAAAATAATTTCATAGGTTCACCCATATTAAAATTCTCCTTCACTGAAAATAAGCTTTTAAACATTAAGGAAAGATGCACATAGAGATCTAAGGACTTTTGTTTCTGTGGCCTTATTCTGACTTTTTTAATTATGTTAAAATTTGCTCTGCAGATGGAAAACTCTGACAAGGAATTCTGCAAAACATTATTTTATTGTGAAATTTATTTTAGAAACCAAGAATCTTAGTCCTTCAATTCAATCATCTCAGGTTCAAAATATAGAAAGTCATCACTACATAGCAAATAAAAGTATATACCTATTTTCTTCCAATTCTTGCCATTAAAAACTTCAACAGCATTCCTTAATGTTTCATCCTGCAGCAAGTTGAAGAAAGCACTAAATCCAATTACTGATTACATAACGTTGAATTCGATCCACTTAAACCATATCAACACCTTTGTAGATGTACTATATTAAAAAACTAAAAAAAAAAAAAAAAAAAAAATTAATTGAGTAACGGAAGAACAAATGCCCCAGATACTAACCTCCTTTTCGGTCCAACCATCCTTTACTCGTCTAACAGGGCCGGTCGTCCTCCTACATACAGTCAAAGCATTCACATAATGAAATCCAGTGCAGAAAGATTATAGAAAAAGATTCGAAAGTAATATCTCAAAAGAAAAAGTAATATAAGCTACCATTACTGCAACACGTAAAATTAAGCACCAACAAAGAGAAACACAAAACACGCTGCACTTCCCTCAAACTGCGACACTATGATCAATTAAATATTAAAAAAAATTAAACCAAATTTACCTATTAGATGGCAATGCTGATCCTGTTTTCCTTGATGAGGTGATAATAGCACTGCCATTTCCGTCTGATGCAGAGGAACTAGAAGCAGCATAGGTTTGCTTATTCTTCAAAGCATGCTGCTCCGCTTTATCGTCAGTCATATCCTTCTAAAATCATCACCAAAACCCAAAATCACAGTCATTAAATCAATGCATATAACTTTCCATAAAACAGTGGCACAACAAACTATAGACACCCACATCGAATTCCGCAAACAAAAACCTCCAAAAATATAAAAGTTTCAATCTTTAGAAGTAAAAACACTTTCCCAGAAACAGTTATTAGATCAATACCACTGTCAATATAGAAAACGCAACCCGTTACAAGAAAAAAAAAGATGTGCTATGTGTTTCATGGGCATTCACCACAGTAAAAAATAGTCATAATTAACAATATACTCTATGAGCCAAAAGTCGAAACCTACATTTGAAACAAATACGCAGAAAACTCCTTGAAGACACACCAGTTACCTTAATAGAGAAAACCAGACTGACTGATAGAGAACAGAAACAGAAAAAGAGAAAACAGAAGAAAAGAACAAAATCCTGAATTTGCGTGAAAGAGAAGAGGTACCTCTACCATTAGCAGAAAAGTGGCGGGAATTGAGCCAGGGAAGGAGGTAGAAACTGCGAAGAGCTACCGAAGAGAGTAATGGCTTTCGAAAACTGGTCGTCAGTTGCAACAATGTAACAACAAGACAAATTAAATTTTGTTTAAAAATTAATAAAATATTATTTGGTAACTGATTTGGGCTTGATTATGTTTTTATTATAAAAAATTGGGAGTGAATCTGTTTAATTTTTATCAAAAATTATTAGTCTTTTAAATTAATAAAATATATTTTTTAGTATCAAATATAAATATTGAAAAAAATTAAAATTAATTTTAGTTTCTAAATAATATATTTTAGATTTTAAATACATCTTACAATTTATTATTTTTAAAAAATCAGGTATGAATTTATTTGTCATTTAAAATTTAAAACATTTTCAACCCATGACTTTAGTTACCGTTTCAGAATTATATTTTTCTTTTATCATATATATATATATATATATATATATATATATATATATATATATATATATATTATATAAAATATTAAGTTACTGTTTTTAGTTCTATTATCTTTTTACTGTGTATACTAACGTTGTGCAAGTGCATTTTATTTTTAATTTAACAGGTACCTAGTATTTTTTTTTCGTTTATATAGAATAAATATTAATTTTATATGACTAAAATTTATAATAAAAAATACTTTTAAAAATTCAAAATTAAAATTTATAATAAATAAACATTTTGAAACATATAAACCACATTTTAGGTTTATGAGAAATAATTTATAGTGTTACATAGCATTCTTAGTTATTATTAATTTATTTCCAAAATATTAGAATAAAAAATAATATATTAAATGAGATAAAAGATTAAAAGCAATCTTAAACATATTATCCTCAAAGAACCACGCTTAAAAATTGCATAATGACATAAATAAATATTATATTCGTTATAATTTATATATATATATATATATATATATATATATATATATATATATATATAGAAATTTAGAAACATCCCTTGAAAAAAATATATATAAAAATATTTTAAGATATATATTATTAGTGTTATATCTTTATTATGTAGTAGATAAAGATTATCTCTTAAAATTTAAATATCAAAACATCAAAAATAAATTATTAAAACCTAATTTGTATTTATAATAAGTGAAAATAAATCTTGATAAATATTTGATGAAAAAATAATTTTGTTTTATATCTTTTAACTATTTTTAAAAGTAGTATTTCTAAAAAATTAATTTATATTTGTTCTTCTCATGTTTATTCAATGTGGTGAGATTTTAAACTTTCAATTAAAATGCAGAGAATAAACTTAACATTAAGTTTTTGTTTGCAAAAATCAATATTTTATAAAACCAAAAATATATTTTATTTTAATTATATTACCATTTTTTAATATAAGAATTATGTGAAATGTTTATTTTAATTAGGTAGACATTACAATGCAACGTGTATTTAAACATTCTATAGAAAAGAAATCACTTGATTAAAATCAGTTAAATGTTATATGCTCCCTAAATTTAGAATTTAACTTATTTTTTTATTAACACTTAAAATTAATTTTATTTTCATCTATTAATTTTTTTCTTTTTAAAAAGATTGTTTCCTATAAAACCCTAATTTTTTATCATTATACCAACTTCTTTAAAGGATGTAAGTGGAATGCTTGATGAAATTTGGATTGATTTATAAGTTTTTTCAAGTAGACATTAAAAAAATCTCTTTTAATCTAAAATTATTTATATATAACTTAAAAATTATTATTTAGCGAAAATTATATTAATAGACTTTAATATATTCATTTATGCCTAAATTAATTTTTATTTTTTAAAAATATTTTATATCCTTTCTATTTTTCTTGTTATTTATTTTCTTACAAATAATTATGAAGACGTGTGTGCAAATTGAAACAGTAAAATGAGAATTATGTGCCATTTTATAACAATTTTGCATCAAATATTAGAAGAAATGCAAAAAATTATTTCCCATAGTTTTGAACGAATATATTTTTAATATAGAATTTAAAATATTATATGAACAAATATATTGTTTAAATCTTAAATTTTATGATATTAATTTGATTATTTTAAATTAGATAATTTTAAATTTAAAAATTAATTTTCCTAACTTTTTCATTTCCTAAATTTAAATATTTTCTCTTTGCAATTCTTATATATTTTATATGATGTTCATGTTATATTAGAGAATCAACTTTTTCCACCGATGTAAACCACGTTTTTTTTTTTTTTCTAAGTCAATACTGTGTTTAGTTGTCGTTGACTCTGTTTGAATTATTTATTCACCTACCTGATATTTACGTAATTTCCACTCAAAATCTATAATAATTATTCTTCTCCGTATAATTTTTTTATTCGATTATTGTTGTGTTAAATTTATATTTAACAATAATTATTCAATAGGAAAAATTTTAATTTAATGAATTTAAATGATTTTATTTAAAGATATTAAAACAAAAATAATTTAAATTTAATGCATATATCTTTTAAAATTATAAAATTTATTATGCAAACATGAATCTAAACATATCATAGTTTTTTTCACAGTGCTTCATATATATATATATATATATATATATATATATATATATATATATATATATATATATATATATATATAGTATTTGAAAATCATTCATTAATAATTTTTATTTAGATATTTTTTAAAATTAATTTATTAAAATAAAAGAAAAAAATCATTAATATATATGAAATTTAAATTATTTACAATTTATACTACAATTTATTTAAATTTATATTTTAGAAAAAATAATTTTATTTATACTAATATTTTATGATCCAAATTTATTTAAATTATACTTAAAATAAAATATTATTTGCCCATAAGACCAACGTGTAGCCAATATAAAGGTTGTGAAAAAGTCAAAGTCACGTACAAACATAAATAAATATTAAAAAACATCAAAGTTATCCCAAACATAATTTCTAGTTCCTCGTTTGGTTAGCTCAACTATTAAAATTTTTATTTTAAATAATTTATTTATATATATATATATATTAAATAAACTTATATATAAGTAATGAAAAAAATTATATTAAAATAAATATTTTTAAATCAACATTGAAACTAAAAATATTAACTAATTATTTAAAATTATAATTATAATAAATAATTTTATTTTTTTTATAATACATAAATTTATTTATTATAGCATAAATAATTAATTTAAACTTATTTTATCATAATATTAAATATTTATAAGTTAAATATATTTTTACTTAATAATTTAACATAGTTATAATTAAATTAATTAAATTGAGTTATGATAATTAGTTTAATTAATTAATTTTAAAAAATATTTGTTAACAAATTATTTTAATAAATATTTAATTTTTTCTTTTTCAACTTTATTCTATAATATTTTTCTAAAAAAATGGAAGATAAACAGAAACAAAATGAAAAACAAAAGTAGAAAGAAAAATAAAAAAATAAATAAGGAAAAGAAAAAATTTTAAACAAATATTTTAATTAAATAAACAAATTTAGAAAGAGATAATACTGATTTTTTTAATTTTGTTTTAATTTAATTAAAATTGTTACTATCCGTACCGGTTTATAATAAAATTTTCTGGGTATTTAATGATTCAATTTACAAATTAATCTCATTTTATTTTAAATGTGTTCAATTAACATCACTTTTAAACAATCTATAGTGTTTCATTTGGTTTTATTTAAATCATTGATACAATTATTTTACATCACTCTTAAACAATCCATATAAACTATAATACATTATTTCACTAAGTTATATATTTTTTAAATCATTCATATTATAATTCTAGAAATTTTAATCTCTATAATGTCTAATAGAATTTCACATTCTCATAATTTTGTATTAAAACAATAAAAATAGTATTGTGCGCATGATTATTCATGTTGAAACTTTTTTTTTTAGGTTAAAAAATGGGTCTCTTCTAATTTCAAGTCTCTTGCTATCAACCCTTGCTTGCTTCAACAGAAATTTTTTATAAGAACCAAGTCTTAAATTAAAGAATCTTTTTAAAAACTATTTGCTTCAGCAGACAATTTTTATAAGAAACAAGTCTTAAATGAAAGAATCTTTTTAAAAACTATTTTTAAAGTAATGCATGAGAATTTGACCATTTTTTTATAAAAAAAAACATCAAATAATTTCATTTATAAATGTCCTTTCAAAAGTTTTTTTTTTTTTTGTGAAATAACCCTTAATTTTAACTTTTAACTTCATTTTTGTTGGAAAGAGCAAAAGAAAATGACTACAACAACAAGGACTCTTTTTTTTATAAAATACTAATTTTTATTATGAAACAGAGACTGAATGTTCTTAAATACAAGATCAAACCAACACATAACAAAGAAAACAAATACATAACAAAGCATCACAATCACAATCACAACCATAATCCTCCACACAAATTGCACGTATCAAGTGAATTTGCTTGAGGCAAGCCATGACAGAAGAAACTCCAAACACAAACCCACTAACAGCGTGCATTTGCCCACATAGCTATTATTTCTGCAACTAACTAATAAATAAAGAGAGCTCAGAACTGCCTCTGTCTCTGTTTCATCCTGGTTCTGCACCTCACTTACAGTTGCAAGGGTCGCAGGTGCAGTTTGATCCACACTTGCAACCACTGTTCTCAGCTGCAACACTCGTTTCACCAGCCTGGTTGTTAGGTCTCACAGCTTCAAGAGCCAAAACAAAAGTCCTTGTGGATCTGTTTGCATGACTAGGGTGTAGCTTGCAACTGCATCAACAAAAGTATTCAATCTTAGGACTAAAAAAATTCTTGCGATGCACATGGCAGAAAATTCTTAAGAGACATCCAAGTAGCATATCAGAAAATTCTTAAGAGACATGCAAGGTAACATAAAAAAATCTTCAGACACATGCAAGGTAACATATCAAAAAACATGCAAGATAAGATTAAAAGGGGAAAAAGTATCATCTTTTAGACACCATGAGAGTCAAGAGGGTATCCAGAAAGCCAATAAAATAATCCCAACAAAATTTTCCCTCACACAAAAAAAATATCTGAAAGGAAGCAAAACTTAGAAGGCATTAGAACCCATCCATTGAAAAGTAAAACAAAACAAAAATGTAAGAAGAAAAAACACCATTCAGTCCCATGCAATTCAGCCAATACTCAAAAGACAAAATCAACAACAAGAATGATTAAAAAAACTTATTAGAGAAAGACCCAAAAAGTGTTTGAAAGAATGAATAAGAAAGATCACCTTTCAGGGTTGCTGCTACAGCTGCAGCTGTTTCTGGACTCACTGTTGTCACCGCAGCAACACATTTTGAGACAAAAACAGGGAACTGGAAAGATTATGTAACACAGTAGTTACTATAACACTAAATGGAATGAGTTTTCATGAACAGACGAAGGTGACCACAATTTATAGCTGGTGTCGGGTTAGGAGGTAAATCTTGACCGTCCACGTGCCAGGTCGGTTCAGAACCGATTGCAGTCATTTCCGCATCCCCATGTAACTTTAATCACTCGTCCCTTTCCAACCGGTCTTGCAGTAAACGTTTATGTTGAAGTCCTAACTCACAGCTGTTATATATATATATATATATATATATATATATATATATATTTGGTCGTAAAAAAATGAACTTGTTGTGCTCATTTTTATTTTATCCAAGTTTGAGATGATGAGTTGAATATTGTCATGTTTCACATTTTTAATAATATATAAGTATGTAAGTTTGGGATGATGAGTTAAATTATTAAAAATAATAATAATAAGAATAAGAATAAATCTCTTTGACCTTACATTAATAATAATAATAATAAGAATATATATATATATATATATATATCAATTATTTTTATTTATTTAAACAAGTTTTTTTGGAAATTACATAACCATACCACTGAAACTAAAGCTGAAGTTAAAACTAATATATATATATATATATATATATATATATATATATATATATATACTTTTTAAAATTTTGAATAAATCTAATTTTGATATTTTAAAATAAAAAAAAATTAGATTTTAAAGATTAAAGATAAATTTTTCGTCTTTCAAATTGAAAAAAAAAACAGAAAAAAATATAACTAGACGTTATAGCTATAGACTATTTCTAATATTTTTTAATTCTTAATTGTTAAATTTGAAAGACTCTATTTATAATTATTTAACAGACTTTAATTTACGCCTGAATTAATTTTTATTTTTAAAAAATATTTTATATCATTTTTACTTCTCTTCTTATCTATTTTCTAAAAAAAAATTATAAAAACGTTTGTCCAATTTAAATTGAAAACATTAACTAGTAAAATGAGAATTATGTGTCGTTTTATAACATTGCATCGAATGTTAGAAAAAAAAATTATTTTCCATAATTTTTGAATGACAAAATATATTGTTTAAATCTTAAATTTTACGATAGTAATTTAATTATTTTAAATTAGATAATTTCAAATTTTATTTAAAAATTTTAATTTAATTTTTTCTAACTTTTTCATTTCCTAATTTTTTTATTTTTTATTTTTTTTAGTTTAGTAAACCACGATTTTTTCTGAATAGATTTAAGTCAATATTGTGTTTAGTTGTCATTGACTTTGGTCGAATTATTTATTCACTTAAGTAAGTTAAGCCTATTTCTAGATTCACAATTATCAATGTTTTCTTACTAAATGTTTTCTCCATGTATAGTTTTTCTTTTTATTATATGTCATTTATGTTAAATTTGTGTTAAATTTATATTTAACAATAATTATCTAATAGGAAAAATTTAATTTAAAAAATTTAGATGATTTTATTTAAATATTTTGAAACAAAAATAATTTATATATATATATATATATATATATATATTTAATGCATATATCTTTTAAAATTATAAAATTTATTATGCAAACATGAATCTAAACATATCATAGTTTTTTTTACAGCTCTTCCCGACGTGTGTGTGTGTATATATATATATATATAAGTATTTTAAATAAATATTTGAGTAAATGGAATTTTTACAGTCCCATACAAACATAAATATTAAAAAAAATCAAGTCATCCCAAATCAATATGTAATCCCTTTTAGTATGGATTATTCCATAGCCAATGGTATCACCAAGAAATCTACAAAATGCTTATATAGTAATATTAAAGAAGATTCAAGCCCTTGGATTAGAAGTTAAAGAAGAAGCAATGGGTGACCTTGTTTGAAAAGAGAAAAATGCCCTCATTACTTAGCTGAAGGGCCAATCGAAGAAACATCAAAGTATATATAATTTATGTGAAATGTATTATAAAAATCATAGGAATAGACAATGGAAATTAAAAGCTCATATTCAACTAAAAATGTAAAAAGAACACTGCATCAAAACAAGATGCCAAAACCACAACTAACCATTCCATTTCCTTTTATTCTATCCAAGGAATTTCACAATAAAATAAAATATTCCTGGTTAATAACAATAACAGAATTTCAATACAGTAAAAAAATAAATAAAAATCTATGTGATACAAAATGTATAGTAGAGGCTATTCAAAAATAGGTTTATCTGTTGTAGATGCTTCTTGGTTGAGATCTGAAAATCTCAAACCAACTTGCGTTGAAAGCCTCATGAATTTCTGAGCACATCTGTAAACACAGGTTTCCTCTTGCTTGGTCAGAGATTTCCGATAGAATGTATTAACACATTCCTTGAAGCAATTCTCCACTAGTGAATTATACATCCTTAGACTGCAATTTTGTTGGAGCAGAGAATAAATCAACAAAATCCACCGTAGGCAACAAGGCGGAATAAAACTTCTACATTCACATCTTTGTGACTTCTCTAACTCAGATTGAAAAATAAGTGCAGTATCATTATATATGTAAAATTAGGTTAAAAAATCTCTAGAAAGTGTCAATGTATTACGTAAACTTGAAGTGAAGTTCTCAAGTATTCAATCCAACAATCCATAGTGTCCAACAAATATCATCAATTTACATATAAAAGCCAATTTGTTAGCCGAAGTTACTACAGCATAACATTTATGCGTATCCTGAAGAATCAAAGTCACAAGTTATGACTAACTTCACGATTCCCAATCATATCCACTCTGAAATTCAATAGATAGTAGATGCACTAGGCACAGGTTAAGAATACAGTGTCAAATACCAGAAACACAACATGGATCATAGTTTAAAAACTTCACACATGTTCTTCTTCACATTAGATTTAAAGCATCAATCTTCTCTCAGTTAAACAAAAATAAAAAATAAGAAAACCCATCCAATTGAAAATACAAATGATAACTTAGTAGCCATCCAGTATGAATACATTCTAATCAGAACAATTCACCAAAGAATTCAGATTCAGTATTTTCCCCTAACAGGAAAAAATATAATTCATTTAAAGCACACAAATACACCTACATAAACAGGCATCTATACATACATAAACATCTGTCATGAGTGTAGCAGTCAGATCCCAAACTGTAATCATTTAACCATTGGTCTATCACTCAATCTGATAAGAGAACTCCGTCACACACATGAACATCTCAATACAACTAAACAACAGAGTTTAAAATAAATAAATCAAGATAATAATTTTCGATTTACCTGTCTCGTAATTGGATCTGTTCTACTATGGTGGACATTCTCTGCTTTTCTTCTTCAGGAAAATTATCCAAGTCTGAAATTATTTTCTTGTCCATTTTTCGATTAAGGTGTATCTGAGAGAGAGCAGAGAACAGAGAACAGTAACAGAGGTATTGGGGTTTGTTTATAAAGGTATGCCGAGGTTTTAGGTTTTACCAGTAATGGTTCTGTTCACCGAAGAAGAGAAAAAGAAACATGAGTCTATGCTTAAACCCTAAACCCATGTTTCGCCGGGTCGGGTTCCGGGTCAACCCACCCACTAGTGGGAACCTTGTGAAGTTACTTTATTCAAATTTAAGAATAATTATTTTGGTCAAATTGCACTTCAAATAAATAGTATAAATTAGCTTTAAGTTTTTATCAAATTTTATAAAAAGAGTACATCTATAATATAAGGAGAGGAACATTTTATGATCTGTTTCAAATTTAAAAGGTGCACATGTAACGTAGAAGAATAAAGATAATATAATGTTTTAAAATAAAATAAATATTTATGTAAAACATAAAATAAAAACAAAATTTTAATATAATACGAGAAAATATCATAAATAATGTTATAATTTACTCAAATAAATATAGAGATAAAATATTTAAATCATATATCTTATTTATCATATAGAGTAAATTTGCTGATAAGTTATCACTTCATCTCTAACAATTATCATATCATATTACTTATCATTGTTGCATCATATATAATCATAAGACATGTGAAAAATAATAATCTAGTTAATAATGTTTAATCTTATGTTTATGTAGGATATTTTATAATTTAAAAAAATTAAAGCTGAATTGTTTTTATTTAAAATTATTTATTTTAAAAAAAATTATTAGACTATTTTAATTTATTAAATTTTAATTTTGTTATTTAAATAAAATATTTTTATTATTATTAAATATAAAAATTATTCTTAATATATTAATCAATTAGTTTGAACTTGCAGTACTTTATCATTAATATAAAACATCAATTCTAATTAAAATGATATATATAACTTATATATATTTTTGTATTTATTCTAATTAATATCTTCTTCAAATATTTATTTTCCTCTTATAAAAAAGTGATAAATGAATATTTGATTGTTTTGTTATTAATAAAATTCATATCCAATATATTTTTTCAATTTATTTAAGTAATTACTATTAACGTTGACATTGTAGATATACCACATACACTTTAGAGTATAAGAGAAGGTATAAGTACAAGTTGCTTTGAACAATGCTAGTTAGATCATCTCACAGTACTAACAGATTTAATGTTATCAAAATCTATAAATATTCAAATGATAAAATAAGAATAAATTACACCAAAAATAATGAAGCTGTAGTTATTAAAAATAAAAAATATATTTGTTATTTTTTCTTTCTCACGTAACATAATATAATGTCACCAAAAAATATTAGATTCAAATATGATAAAAAAGTTTAAGTATTTTATTTTTTTAAATCAACTAAGAAAATAAATAAAAAATTAGACTTTTTGAAAAAAAATGTAATGCATGCACAATTAGAAAAAATATTTATAATATTATTAAATAATTAATTTAAAACTATCTTATCACAATAAAATAATTACTCATGTAATTAAAAATATAAAACATATTATATGTAAAATTTACTTATTATAATTAAAATGTACTTATTTATTAATATTTGTTATATTATGACATTAATAATAGATTACATGTATAATAATATTATGAAATTATATAATACTAAATTTTAAATGTAATTAATTTGATTAGTTTCTACAAATTATTTCCCTATAAGATTATAAATAAATTATTAAAAAAATGAGTTAGAATTTAAAAATCTTATTAATATAGGTTTTTAATAAAACATTGATTTTTTTTATTATATAATTTAAACAAAAATAAATTTTTTATATTATTATATTTTAATAGATAAATATAATTTTTACTAATGTTATTGTAAGTGTTATAATTACATATTTATATAATTAAAATGGATGAAGATAAAAAGAAGAGAAAAAAAATAAACAAAAAATAATGAGAAAAAAAAGATGAGAAGATAGTTTATTGTGACATTTTATTATTATTATTATTATTTGTATAAGAGTAGCAGGTCAAAAAAATATTACATATATGTAAAAGTAATTTACATCACTATATAAGATATACAAAAGAAGAGAGAATTTTATTTTTGATTACTTCTATTTTTTTCTACAATTTTACAATTATCTACATTGCTTAGGTGGAAACAAACTGATAAAGGGATTTTAGAAAAAGGTAGGAGGCATACAAAAGGTAACCTATCTAACATAATGGAATTTCCCATATCAGATACAAATATTATTATTGAAAATTTTGTCCCTCTAAAAATAACCGAGTTGTCTATAACATTCATGTTCCAAGTAGTTCCTAGAAGGAAGGCAGTGATGTTTGCAGAAAAGGGATTTGGAATATTTGACGTCTCCATCTACTTAAGTTGGTGTTTAAATAAAACATACACAAAAGATCATAATAGGGAGTTAGAACATTTATCATTTACAATAATACAATCTTATAATATATAAATATATATGTTTCATCTTCCTCAACTCATTCTATTTTATGAAGATTTAAATTAAACTTGTAGTGACAAGTCAGGATAAATGAGCCTAATTTTAACCACTCTCACAATGATATTTTACTCATTTAAATCTCCAAGGTCCAACCTCCATCTACAATATCATCAAATCTTCACAAATAGATATTATTATAATTAAATAATATAACTATATATTAATAAATAGGATCATTGCATTACTAGAGATAAAATAAAGTAAACAAACAGGACCAGTAAGTAATTGGAGATAATTAAAATAAGACCAGTGCAAGATTGGAGATAAAATAAAATAAACAAATAGGACTAGTACATAACTAAAGATAATTAAAATAAGACCAGTGCAAGACTGGAGATAAAATAAAATAAACAAACAGGACTAGTACATAACTGGAGATAATTAAAATAGGACCAATGCAAGACTGGAGGTAAAATAAACAAACATAAGGTAGGATCATTACGTAGTTAGAGATAAATAAACAAATAACTAAATAAATAGAATGAGGTTAGGGACACCTCACTCCACAACTATAAGCAAAATAAAATAGATTTAATGATAATATTCTCCTCCCCTACCTTAAGAACTGCGGATGAGGTACCAAAATCTTGTAGAGACAATTTTTTTTCTCTTTCTCTTCCTCTCTCTCTCTTTCTCTTTCTATTTCTCTCTCCTTCTTTCTCTCTCTCCCTACGGATCCTTCCCTTTTTATAACAATTTTTTTCTTTTTATTTATTTAATTACGTAATCATAAATGCAGTAATTATGATTTTGATAAGATTTATCTTTTAAGATAAGATAATGTTTATCTTTTACATTAATTGAGATGTTACATTTCTCCCATATTTACAAAAATTTCGTCCTCGAAATTTTTAGCGACTAAAATAGATGAGGGTAATTTTCTTTGATTTTCTTTTCTAATTTCCACGTAGCATCACCAGTAATTTCATTCCAAACAACATTTACTAATGGAATTTGTCTTCCCCTCAGTTGCTTGATCTTCATATCTGTAATATGTACAAACATTGTTTCAAATGTAAGGTTATCCTTTAATTGTACTGTATTTGACATTATTATTACATGAGAATGGTCAAAATATATTTTCTTAATTGAGACACATGAAACACATTATGAAGATTAGAAAGGAAAGGGGGTAAGGAAATTTGATAAGCAACAGGACCTATTTTTCTAAGAATTTGATAGGGACCAATAAATCGAGGAGTGAGTTTCTTGGCTTTCATTACTCTACCAACTCCAGTTGTCGGTGTTACTTTCAAGAATACATGCTCACCTTCTTAGAATTCAAGGGGTCGTCTTCTCTTATCAGCATAACTTTTCTGTCGACTTTGAGTTGTTCTTAATTTTTCTCTAATCATCTTAATTTTCTCCGTGGTTTGTTGAATCATGTCAGGACCTAAGATTAAATTTTCTCCAGTCTTAAACCAACATAAAGGTGTCCTACATTTTCTCCCATACAATGCCTCATAAGGTATCATACTTATGCTAGAATGGAAACTGTTGTTATAAGTAAATTCAATTAATGATAAATATCAGTCCCAGCTACCAGAATCTTCTAACACACATGCTCTCAACAAATCTTCCAATAACTGAATGTGTATTTCTGATTGTCCATCAGTTTGAGAATAATAAGCTAAGCTAAGATGAAGCTTAGTTCCTAAGGTTTGATGTAAGCTTCCCCAAAATTTAGAAGTAAACCTAGGATCCCGGTCAGAAATAATACTAGATGGAACTCCATGTAACCTCACAATTTCTTTTATGTACAATTCAGTCAATTTTTCCAATGAATAACTGATGTTAATGGGTAGAAAATGAGCAGACTTTGACAACCTATCCACGATAACCCATATGGAATCAAATTTTTGAATTGTTCGTGGTAAACCAATTATAAAGTCCATTGCAATACTATCCCATTTCCACTCAAGTATGTCTAAAGATTGTAGCATTCCTGCAGGCATTTGATGTTCTATCTTAGCTTTTTAACAAACTAAGCATGATGTTACATATTGTGCTACTTGCTTCTTCATTTTAGGCCACCAAAATATTTTCTTAAGATCTTGATACATTTTTGTTGTGCCTGGATGTATGCTCAATTTACTCTTATGTGTTTCATCTAAAATCAGTTTTCTAATCTCTACATTATTAGGCACACATACTCTACCACTAAATCTCAAAATTCCTGCTTTATCTATGCCAAATTTTTCTTCATTCTTTTGTCCTATCAACTTCTTTTTCTTTTGAATAAATTCATCAACTACTTGAGCCTCTTGAATTTGTCTTTGTAATCCACTAGTAATTTGAGTTAAGTTTAATTTTATTCTATCAGGGTTCATGGTAATTGATAAATTCATGTTTCTGAACTCTTCTAGCAGACTCATCTCATGAATCATAAGGGAAGAGACATGTAATGATTTTCTGCTTAAAGCGTCTGCTACTACATTTGCCTTTCCTGGATGGTAATGTAATTCAAAATCATAATCTTTCAAAAATTTCATCCATCTTCTCTGTCTCATATTTAATTCTTTTTTATCAAACAAGTATTTAAGACTTTTATGATCACTAAAAACCTCAAACTTACCACCATACACATAATGTCTCCATATTTTAAGTGCAAAAACGATGGCGGCTAGTTATAGATCATGAGTTGGATAATTTTTCTCATGTGTTCTTAATTGTCTCGAGGCATATGCAACTACCCTTCTATCTTGCATAAGAACACATCCTAATCCCATTTTGGAAGCATCACAAAATGTCCAGTTGAGTTAGGTAATGCTAGTACAGGGGAAGTGGTTAATCTTTTCTTAAGTTCTTGAAAACTATTTTCGCATTTTTCTGTCCATTCAAAAGCTTGACCTTTCTTGGTGAGTTGGGTTAAAGGCATAGCCATTTTAGAAAATCTTTCAATGAATCTCCTATAATATCCAGCCAAACCCAGGAAACTACGAATCTCAGTCACTGTTTTTGGTGGATCGCATTGTAGAATTGCTTCTACCTTAGTTGGGTCTACTGACACTCCCTTTTTGGAAATCACATGACCTAAAAATTTCACTTCTTTTAACCAAAATTCACACTTAGACAATTTAGCATACAATTGTTTGTCTTTCAAAATTTGAAGAACAACTTGAAGGTGATCCGCATGATCTTCAAAAGTTTTAGAATAAATAAGAATGTCATCTATAAAAACCACAACAAAATGATCTAAAAATGGACGAAAAATTCTATTCATATAATCCATGAATATTGCAGGAGCATTGGTCACACCAAAAGACATTATTTGATATTCATAATGACCATACCTAGTTCTAAATGCAGTTTTTTGTACATCTTATGCCTTTATTCTAATTTGGTGATATCCTGATCTTAAATATATTTTAGAAAATACAGAAGCTCCTCTTAATTGATTTAACAAATCATCTATTCTTGGAAGAGGGTATTTATTCTTTATGGTGAATTTATTTAACTGACGATAATCTACGCATAACCTAAAGCTGCCATCTTTCTTCTTAACTAATAAAACAGGGGCTCCCCAAGGTGATACACTACGATGAATGAATTATTTCCCAAGTAATTCTTCCAATTGTTTCTTCAGTTCTGTCAGTTCAGAAGTGGACATCCTATATGGTGCCATAGAAATTGGTCCAGTTCTAGGCATTAAATCTATTGAAAATTCAATCTCTCTGTTGGGTGGTAAACTAGGAATATCATCAGGAAAAACTTCAGGAAAATTTTGAACAACTGCTATTTTTTTCAAATCGGCTTCCTCTTTTACTTCCACAGAAGATAGTAACAAATATCCTTGAATTTTGTTCTTCAAAGACTCATTTACTGAGTTGGTAGAGAAACTCAAAAGATTTTTAGAATTTGAAAATATTACTGATTTTTCTGCACAATTTAGAAGGACTTGATTGGAAGATAACCAGTCCATACCCAGGATTACATCCAATTGAGATAAAGGTAGACAAATTAAATTTACAAGGAATTTTCTGTTTTCAACGAACAAAGGACAATCTAGACAAATTTTATTGGTGATTACAGACTTACTTGTAGGAGTTGAAACAATCAAACTAGTATCTAGAAAAGAAGTCGGCAATTCAAGGTGTTGGACACAATCATTGGAAATAAATGAATGAGTTGCGCCTGAGTCATATAGTACATTTAAAGTTTTGCCTTTAATGAAACACATACTTTGGATCAAATCATTATTCTGAGAAGCTTCAGTTCCATTCATGGTATATACTCTTGCTGTTGTCGGAGGTCTTCTTTTTGGTGTAGAAGGATCAGAATTTGGTTTTTGTTGCCGACATTCAGAGAATATATGACCAGGTTTCCCCGCACTTGAAACAGACAAGTCCTTTAAGATGACAATTTTTAGCATAATGATCCTGTCCACACTTAAAACACTTGAGCTGATTATTTATACGATTATTAAAATTTCTTGCAGAAAATTGATTGGGTTGGGATCTCCAGTGGGGGCGGTTGTAAGGTTTTTCTTCATTTTGTCTCCTTTTATTATGATGGGGTCCAAAAGATTTTGGTTTACTATTTTGATGGTTTTCAAAATCTTCCAAAAATCTGCATTTATGAATAAGCGTAGGAAAATCAGAAATTTCTAGTATTCCTACCGCTTTTTTCAATTCGGGCCTAAGTCCATTCTCAAATTTTATACACTTCATTCTTTCATCAAGGTGATAAAAGAATGCAAAGTATTTTCCTAGCTCTTCAAACTTAGAGGCATATTCTCCTATGGTCATACTTCCTTGCTTTAATTGCATAAACTCTATTTCTTTCGCTCTTCTCACATCATTAGGAAAATATTTTTCTAAAAATTTTGTTCTAAACACTTCCCAAGTAATGATTATTCTTTCTCCTTCTAGTAATCTCCTAGTACTATCCCACCAATATTCAGTCTCTCCTATCAACATAAACACAGCATAATTCACCTTTTGGTCATCAAGACAATTCATAACTTGAAATATATTTTTCAATTCTTTAATCCACAATTCAGCCTTTTCTGGGTTATAACCTCCAGAAAATTGTGGATGTTTGTTTCTCCTGAATTCAACTAAACATTGTGATCCATTGGTTCATTCAGGTCTTTGGTTCCTTAATAATGCAGCGGCCATGTCTCGGATAGCTTGTACCGCTTCTGTCAACTCATTGTTCCTTCTATTATTTGTCATCTGGAATTATATAAGTTAGGATTCATAAAATATCATGATAGACTCATTTTACAGGTCACACATGAAACATTGCTCTAATACCATTTAATGTGACATTATTATTATTATTATTATTATTATTATTATTATTATTATTATTATTATTATTATTATTATTATTATTATTATTATTATTATTTGTATAAGAGTAGCAGGTAAAAAAAATATTACATATATGTAAAAGTAATTTACATCACTATATAAGATATACAAAAGAAGAAAGAATTTTATTTTTGATTCCTTCTATTTTTGTGTACAATTTTACAAGTATCTACATTACCGGTGGAAACAAACTCATTAAGGGGTTTTGGAAAAAGGTAGGAGGTATACAAAAGCTAACCATTACTTGGTCCATCTAACATAATGAGATTTCCCATATCATATACAAATGTTATTATTGAAAATCATGTCCCTCTAAAAGTAACCGAGTTGTCTATAACATTCGTGTTCCAAGTAGTTCCTAGAAAGAAGGTAGCAGTGATATTTACAGAAAAGGGATTTGGAATATTTGGCGTCTCCATCTACTTAAGTTGGTGTTTAAATAAAATATGCACAAAAGATCACAATAGAGAGTGAGAACATTTATCATTTACAATAATACAATCTTATAATATATAAATATATATGTTTCATCTTCCTCAACCCATTTTATTTTATGAAGATTTAAATTAAATTTGTAGTGACTAGTCAGGATAAATGAGCCTAATTTTAATCACTCTCACGATGATATTTTACTCATTTAAATCTCCAAGGTCCAACCTCCATCTACAATATCATCGAATCTTCACAAATAGATATTATTATAATTAAATAATATAATTATATATTAATAAATAGGATCACTGCATTACTAGAGATAAAATAAAGTACACAAATAGGACTAGTACGTAATCGAAGATAATTAAAATAGGATCGATACAAGACTCGAAGATAAAATAAAATAAACAAACAGAACCAGTACATAACTGAAGATAATTAAAATAAGACCAGTGCAAAACTGGAGATAAAATAAAATAAACAAACAGGATTAATACATAACTGAAGATAATTAAAATAGGACTAGTGCAAGACTGGAGATAAAATAAAATAAACAAACACGACTAGTACATAACTGGAGATAATTAAAATAGGACTAGTGCAAGACTGGAGATAAAATAAACAAGCATAAGGTATGACCATTACGTTAGAGATAAATAAACAAATAACTAAATAAATAGAATAAGGTTAAGGACACATTACTCCACAACTATAAACAAAATAAAATAGATTTAATGATAATATTTTTCTCTCCTACCTTAAGAACTGCGGATGAGGTACCAAAATTTTGCCGAAAAAATCTTTTTTTCTCTCTTTCTCTTCTTCCCTCTCTCTTTCTCTTTCTCTTTCTCTTTCTCCCTTTCTCCCTTTCTCTTTCTCTCTCTCCATATGGATCCTTCCCCCTTCCCTTTTTATATAGCAATTTTTATTTATTTATTTAATTACACAATCATAAATATAATAATTATGATTTTGATAAGATTTATCTTTTAAAATAAGATAATGTTTATCTATTACATTAATTAAGATGATACAGTTTAGCAATTTACAAATTAATCTCATTTTATTTTAAAAGTGTCTTCAAATTTCAAGACTCTGGCTATAACTTAAAAGCCATGCATTAGAGTTTGACCAATTTTTTTTTGTATTATTAAATAAACATGTTAATTGAATGTACTTTCTTTTTTCATAAAATACTAATTTTTATTAAGAAAGCAGAGACTGAATTTTCTTAACTACAATATCCAAGAAACACATAATAAAGCATCTACAATCATATCTTACATCCTCCACACAAATTGCACTATAAAGTGAATTTGCTTGAGGTAAGCCATGAAACTAGAAACTCAAAACACAAACAAACTCCTTACATACATCCTTACATACATAGCTATTATTTCTGCAACTAACAAAGAGGGTCAGAACTATCTGCTTCATCCTTTTTCTGCACTTCACTTACAGTTGCAAGGGTCGCAGGTGCAGTTTGGTCCACATTTGCAACCACTGTTCTCAGCTGCAACACTCGTTTCAGCACCCTGATTCTTAGATCTCACAGCTTCAAGAGCCAAAACAAAATTCCTGTTTACATGAGTAGGGTGCAGCTTGCAACTGCATAAACAAAAGGGTATTCAATCTTGATGTATTACACACACTAAAGAAACCTTAAAAAAAAAAAAAAAAAGATTGCAGAAAATTTAACACCATAGTTTAATCCTAAGAACCATGCAAGGTAAATGGAAAATGTGTCAGACTTAAAAACAAGCTAAAAAATAATTTTGTCAATATGAACAAACATGCAAAATATTTCTCATTTTCTCTTCCTCTCTTCCTTTCCTTTGATTCCATCAGACTTAAAAAAAAATCCAGGAAAACCAGCATATCAGAAAATTCTTAAGAGACATGCAAAGTAACATAACAACACATTCTTGAGAAACATGCAAGATAAGATTAGAAGGGGAAAAGTATCATCTTTTATACACCCTTAGTCAAGATCTGAAAGGAAACAAACCTTGGAAAGATATTAGAATCCATCCATTGAAAAGTAAAACAAGCAAAGTATAAGAAGAAAAATCACCATTGAGTCACATGCAATTCAGCCAAAAGGAAAAAATCAACAACGCCGGAAACATTAAAAAAAACTTATTAGAGAAAGATCCAAAAAACATTAAAAAATATTACCCTTCGGAGTTGCTGCCACAGCTGCAGCTGTTTCTCGATCCACTGTTGCCACTGCCACAAGACATTTTAAGCGGAAAACAAAGATTATGTAAAGTAGTGACTATAACACTAAATGTAACAAGTTTTCATGAACCCACGAAGGTGACCACAATTTATAGCGGGGTATGGGGTTAGGAGATGGATCTTGACCGTTCACGTGTATGTTGGTTCAGAAGCGATTACAGTCATTTCCGCATTCCCATGTAACTTTAATCACTCGTCCCTTTCCAAACGGTCTTGCAGTAAACGTTTGTGTTGAAATCCTAACTCACAGCTGTTATATATATATATATATATATATATATATATATATATATATATATATATATATATATATATATATATATTAAATAAATATTACGTTGGAAAATACTCATTTGTTCCAAATTATCTGAATTTTTAAAAATTAACTATATAATTTATTTACTTGTTTTGAAATTAATATATAATTTATCATTTATATTTATATTTTTAATAAATATTATATATTAAAATAATAATAATATTAATAAAAATTAATAAATTCATTAAAAATAAAAAAATTAATATTTATCTTTGTGGTTTACTTTTAATTTCTCATATTTTAAAACAAAATTATGTGAGTTTTTACTTGTTTAGGATTTTATGTATGACAAAATTAGTTTATTTTAATTTAAAAAATTAATATTATTTAATTGCATCATAATTTAAAAGTTTATTTTTTATTTTTTATTTTTTATTATAATACGCTCAATTAAAGGAAGAGTTTCTAAATATTATTTTCTTAAAATAAGATAAAATTAGAATATATTTTTTCATATTTAAAATAATCATATTTATTATTTTGTATATATCAATATCAGATTAAATTATTATATTTTAATATTTAATTGTACAAAAATGAACTTTATATTCATATGTAAGTTTGAGATGATGAGTTGAATATTACACTATTCCAACTTTAGTAAACCGTAAATTTATTATCTATCTATCTATCTATCTATCTATATATATATATATATATATATATATATATATATATATATATATATATATATATATATATATATAATAAATTATAAATTATAATTCAATTCTTTTTTAACATAATAATGGTAAACTAAATACTTCAATAAATTAAAAATTATTTTACAATTAATTATTTTTTAAAATTTATTAATTAATTATTAAAAAATAATAATAAAATCTCTTTATCAATTATTAAACAAGTTTTTCAATAAATACTTCTATATGTATTTTCAACAAATTAAGATAAGATGATATCTATTTTATCATTAAAAACAAAACATGCTTTTAGTTTTTAAAAATTGGAATAAACTTAATTTTTGTAAATTAAACTAAAAAATTTAGTTATTCAAAATTAAACAGAAAATTTGGTCTTTCAGAAAAAAATAATATATTTTTATTATAACTAGAGGTTATAGCTATAGACTATTTCTAATATTTTTTTATTCTTAATTATCATATTTGAAAGACTTTATTTGCAATTTTTTAAAATATTGTTAACTTTTAAACAATTGATTTGAGTAATTAAATTCATAAGATTTAAAATTTGAGAGACTAAGTTTAAAATAGATCAAAACTATATCTATTTTAAAATTGAAAGATTCAAAATAAAATTCTTAAAATATAATTAAATATTACCTTTCTGTAGGTAAAATTACATGTGTTTTTTTTTCTTCCTTTAAAGTTCAAATTTAAATTTACAACATATTTTTTATTTTTTTCTTTTTAAAAATAATTTATCAAAAATATACTAAATGCATTAAACTTCTTATGATAACAATAAATGACAATATTCTATTTAATAAATTATTCATTTAACTCTTTTAAAACATTTTAAATTATATTTTATTCTATTGATAAAAATTTATAAATTCAAAAGCATATATTTATGACATTCAATTAAACATAGTAAATATAATTTTCTTTCGGACCTGTGAACCAACCTATAGTTAGAGGTGGAATTAAGAGTCAACAGTACACATCCTCCCAAAAATTAATATTTTATATAATAACTATTTTTAAAATTAAATAAAAAATTATTTTATAAATATATAAAACTTTTTTTTATCTTTTTTATTTTTCAATATTTTATTTATAATAGATTTTTAACTCTCTTTTTTCATGTTTTTATTTTTTTACCTCAACTTTTTTAATAGAGACTCATTTTATCTTTTTATTTTTTTATTTTTCTTTACCATTTATTCATTTTATTTTTCTTTATGGTTTCATCTTATAACATAAAATTTGTAAAAAAATCTCTTTAGTTTTTTTTATTCAAGTAAAGGAGATGACCCACAATAAATTTTTTAAAATAAAAAATACTAAATAATTTTTTTTTATTTTTTACTGTTTTTATTTATTATAACAATAAATTAGTATGTATAATGTAATATAAAAAGATAAAATATTAATATTATTTTTTATTTTTAATTAATTATTTTAATGTTTTATAATATTTTATTTTGATGTTAAAACTAGTATCATTACCCGATTTTTATAAATTTATAATACAATAAATATATATATATATATATATATATATATATATAATGTTAGAAATAATAAAAAAATAAAAAAATAATTTATACATTTTTATAATTTGTAAAATTTACATCTGCATGAAAAATATGAATATATTAAAAAATGTTCTAAATTTATATTACATAGAACAATTACCAACTATGAAGAAATAAAGATCATCAGTAAGCAATTATAATTTTTAACTGCAACATTAAAAAATCAAATATATTACTATAATAAAAAATTAACTAAACATAGTAGTTTCTTTGTTCGTAGAAGAGTATAATTTGTAAGTGAGAAGAGAAACCAAAGTTATGGTTCTGTTTAAAAGTTTTTAAAAATTTCCTCTGCAACTATTATATTTTTTTACACAATGTTATATTTCTTTTTTGTCCAATGTAAGTAGTTTTAGTTTTTTTTTATTAATGTTTTTAAAATTCAATCAGTCACTAAAATGAAGACATGATTTTAAGATTTAAATGTTTAATCTTATCTAATTGAATTTAATAAAATAATATATTTATAATATAATAAATATATAATAAATTTATCAATAATAATATTTTTTATAAAAGAAAGAAAAAATAATAAAGATTACTATCATCATAGTTATAATGAAAATTATAAATATAAAATATATTAGAAAGTAAAAAATAATAATTATTAAAATAAGATAAAAATATAATAAAATAACTATTATTTAAAATTGATAATACTAATATGATATAAAAAATTATATTTTTTATAAAAATATTATATAAACTTGGTTTAACCTAAAAATTTAGTCGATTTTTCTAGTTTTATTCTAGTTATTTAGAATTAATAGACTGATTTCTAGTTTGATTCTCGGTTTAACCAGTTGAACCGACTAGTTCAATCTAATTTTCAAAACAGTGGTTTTAACTCTAGAAACAATCACGTAGAACTAATCATGAGTGAACACTTGGACTTGAATGATAAAGTCTCACTTTAAACTTTAAAATAGAGAGTAATTGACCTTAACTCTTATTAATTGTTATTGCAAAACATAATGATAAAAGGATTTGTCTTCTTTAAAACTTAAAAGGAAATTTATAATAAAAAGGAATCAAATTTATTCTAAGTATAAAGATTTTGTTTATAATTTTTCTTTTCAATAATCATAGTAGTCAAAATGAAATTTATTTTTCCCAAATCATTCACTTGCAATCTTTTCGATTGTATAGACCATTTGTTCGATCAATATTTCTTTATAACATTACATTACATGAATATCAACTTTTAATCCATGACAATGATTAAGAATACTTTAATATTTAATGTTATTAAGAAATTCAGATTAAATCATTCATCTTACATTTCTTAATATTCATATGATTTCTTAATATTCATATGATTGATAGGTTTTCTCAAACTTAAGTATGTATTTTCTTTATTAGATATCAAAGATAAAATAAAATCATTTAATTTCTCAATTGAATTAATGAATTAATAATAGGACAAAATCTGGCTTCATCGTTAAAAATACTAGCAAATATCAAGTTATGTAGAAAACTACGATAAACAAATTTAACTAATAAAAGCAAAATTATTTCACTATCTTTAATTAAAAGTTAACTAGGTATGATTTTCATCCTTCTCATTTAAAGATATATCTCTATCTTCAATCCTTATATCCCATTAACAAACAAATTCTTTTATATACGTTCACTTTCATTTATTTTTGTAATATTTAACCTTATATTCTATTATGTAAACTTTAAAATTTTAAAATTTTCCACATATCTAAATAACTGATAACTGACTTCACTATATAATATATTGACTTCACTATAATGTCTTGATCGCTAGATAAAATTTGTCTGAAATCACTACTCAAAATCACAATTTTACCACTAAATAATTTATCATGTTTCTCCATAATTTTTACTTTTATAATATCTTTCAATATTTAATCAAATACTTGTATAATAAATGTTGTCTCGTCATGAACTTGTTTTTAAGGTAAAGAGATAAGAGATAAAAAATAAACTCTAATTTACAAAATTTAAATTCAATTAATAATATTAAATATATTATCAATTTTTTATAATATATTTTTTTATAAAAATATTTATTTTTATACTATAAATAATTTTTATATATGGATTCTTTTATAAAATTTATAATTTTACCTTTACTCGACCAGGTCCATTCACAATCACCAGCTGAAAAAAATTATTTGAATTAAACATGGAAAATGATAAATTTGAAATGTTTTCATTATAAAACGAGAATAAAAAAATCATCCTACTAAAAAAAATACTTTCTTCCTTAAAATAGAAATTTCTCTCACATTTTCTATTTATCCAAACATTTAAAAAATTTCAACATAATAAAAAAAATCACAAATTTTAATAATATCTACGTGTATTTATTATTGGTTATTATTATTATTTAAATTTCATGCTAATAGTTATAAAATTTAATTTTTTAACGCAAAGTATCAAATTACTAATATGAGCCTATTCTTAACATGATATATATATATATATATATATATATATATATATATATATATATATATATTGATAAATAAATGTTAATTTAATTATTAAATTTATTAAAAAAATTTAAATATAATAAACTAATTATTTAAAATATATTAAGTGAGGTAATCTGTTAACCCACTCTTAGCATGTTACATTAGACTCTGTAACTCATTCTTATTATAATTCCATTTTTACCCAAAATGGGGTTTTGTCATCACAAATTTTAGTGAATGTGAACTAATAATATTTAAATGAATGTCTTTGTTAGCATTACTCATCAACACATCAGAAAGGAAACTTAAGATTAGATAACGTGTTCACAGGCTCAGCTAAACATGATGAACAACTTCACCAACATTCTATTCTTATAACACCAATAATATTTCATTTATAAGCAGAGATTCAATTACATATATCAAGTAACACAAACCAAACACAAACCAGCCATATTAAAACACCTGCAACAAATTCCAGAAGATATGAACTTGTGAAAGGTAAGTCATGACCACTTTATTCTAAAACGCCAAACCAAGTTGATTGAACCAAACACAACACATGCTTCTTATTATCGGGTGTTCACTTTTGATACATATATTACACTTATCTCTGCTTCAAGCTTTGATCTTCACCTCACTTGCAGTTGCATGGGTCGCAGGTACAGTTTGATCCACACTTGCAGCCATTGTCCTCAGCTGCAACACCCATTTCAGCACCTTCAAATTGGGGCTTCACAGGCCCAACACCCAAAACCAGACTCTCTGTGGTTGTCTTCTCAGTATAGCTCATGTCAAAGGATTTCTTACCGCAACTGTGGCACAGGAAAAATCAACAGACATTAGGTTCTTGAAAACATGTGGGAAAAAGACACTTTTTCTGGAGAGTCAATTTCACTGAGATCATGTTAGAAAATCATCCAGCAAAAACAAAAGAAAAGAAAAAAAGTAATAATTTTTTTGGACAATTAATGGAGAACATATACAAGAAAAAGGTACACAAAATAAAAAAAAAACACTGATGACCAAAGGCAAAACAGAGTCTCAAAGAAAGCGTAGTTCTACCCTCTTAATTATGCTCGGTTGAAGAAGAATATCGAATTTAATAAATTTCAACAAAAAGGTATCTATGCGCCAATCAAAATACACAGAGAAGTTATTCCTGGAAAGAGAAACGATTATGGAAGAAAGCAGAGTCTGAAACTAGAACCCTACCTTTGAAAACAAGAAACATGAAGGAAAAAAACTAAAGCATCTAATTTCATAAAACCCAGTTAGAAGGGTACTGAAAAATCTATTCAAATACCCAGGAAAAATCCCTCTTAAATTTTTTTTCTAAAAACAAAAAGAGAGTTATTGTGTAAGCAGTTAAAACAGTAAATCCTATCCCTTAGAAACACCCTGCTGTAAGAAAAATACAAGTAAAATGATTCATACAACTCACTCCAAATTCCAAAGGGTATCAGAAAAATTAATCACAACAAAGAGCCCATGACAAACAAAAAAAATAGAATTAATTTACTTAAAAACGCGATTCGTTACCTGCAGTTGCTGCCACAGTTGCAGCTGCTTCCACACCCACAGCCAGACATTTTCAAGATGGAAGAAGAGAAAGACGGACTGAATTTAACCAAAGAAAAGATGATTGGAAGTTCACTAAACTCACCCGAATGATTATCAATGAAGCGTAACCCCAATTTATAAGGAGCATGTTGAGAGAGTATGAAATCTCGAGCGTCCACGTGTCACAATCCTGTATCAGTAGGGCGCATAACTTATTCTACGACTTGTTCCACGCCGACGTCGTTTTCATCATTCGCCGTCCTAGTTTTTGTGGTGGTGAGATGTTACATTTCGTGCTCTTCCAAGTAAACGTAACCATGATAGATTCTGTTTGTCTATTTAGTATTATTAAATAATTTATACCAATTATAAATTAAAAACTAAATTATTTATATTTTTTCTAATCAAATGATCTCCTATCTATTCTCATAAGTTAATTTACATGTTCGAGTAATATTTATTTTAAAATTCTCTTTATTTAAAATTTTATCCTTAAAAAACATCTCAATATATTAAAAAAAATAATATATATAAATTATTATTAATTTTAACTCATAAATAAGTTATTTCATAAACTTATTAAATGCATATACAAAATTTTTCTTTAAATTTAGAAATAGTTATTTTTAATAAATCACACATAATATGATATCATCTTTTAAAAATATCTAAAATTGATGTTAATTTTTTATCTTATGAATGTTAAAAGCAAAAAAAATAAAACTAAAAATTAATCACTTCAATAACTTTTTAATTAAGACATTTTTTTTTGTTTTTCTATTTTTGGTATGCATTTCAAATATTTTCTTCGTATTTAGGAATTTTGCACCAACTTAATATCTAAAGGTTGACCAAAGTCAACGCGAAAAATTCGTAATGACACTGAACGAGCCTTAAATTTTTTTTCTTGTTTCTAAAACTAATATTCATTCGTCAAAACAAGTCCAATTATTTGATGTTTAAAATATGTTTATTTGTATTTAGCTAAAGAAAAATTAATCGTTTTCTATTATACTTAAATTTTATATCTATATATATATATATATATATATATATATATATATATATATATATATATATATATATATATATATATATATTCATATCAGTTCTTATTTACGAACTTTTTGTCTAGGATTAAACGGTGACTAATAATTCGTTCTTTGGCTAGATCGAAGTTAGACTCTTGTTTTAATCATGTTTTAATTAATTATAAAATAAGAAGAAGAAAAAATTGCATTAAAAAATATGAAGACAAAGTTTGATGAAAAACATTTTTTGTCAACATGGAAAACTCAAAGTTTGATGAAAAACACTTTTTGTCAACATGGTAAACTTTACATAATTATTATCGAGACTAAAAAAATTATCCCATAACTTTTTTAACATATTTTTCACCATCACGAAAGTATGAGATAACTTATAAAATCCAAAAATTATTAAATAATTATCAAAATGTTTAATTAAAGTAATTATGATGAGTGGAAACCAAAAAATTTAGTCGTTTTATCCGATAATGATGGGATGATAAATTCTGATTGGATTAATAGTTTTACATTTTAATTTGTTGAGTTTAGAAGTATTCAAATGATAACAGGTGAAGATGTTTGATAAGACCAGGCATGCCAACGGACGGGAGGAGGATGTGAGTTTTGCCCTCGATTTTCGTCTCTATTTTTTTTCTTTAACTATTTTTAATTTTTGTTAAGAAATTAAGTTTTCATCTTGTCTTTATTAAATTTTGGGTTATTTATTTTTAATTTATATTATTTTTTTAAAAATAATTATATTTATAATAAATTAATTTTTTATATTTTTTATATATAAATAAATATTTATAATTTTATAATTTATAATTATTATTAATTAAATATATATTTTAATTTACTATATTTATATTATTATATATATAAATATTTAATATTTTTTATTTATATATATATATATAATATTATTATTATTATTATTATAACATTGTATTCAAATATTTGTAATATTATTATTATGATTATAATAATATTATATTTAAATATTTGATTACATGTATAAGTTAATTTATTTTTAAATTATCATTTAAAAATATAAAATATATAATTTATAAGGAAATATTTAATAAGTTAATTCTTATTTAATTAGTTCAAAGTAATAAAAAATTAAATTATCAATTCGTTTTAATCCTTTAAAATATAATTATTTTATTAAGATAAAAATTTGATATATGACAAATAAGAATAATAATATTTAAAAAACATGATATAATAAAACCTAATAAATATAAATTATAAATAAAATAATATTAATTACTACTAAGATTTGATAAAATATTTAGAAAAATATAAAGAAAAAAATTAACTTTCTATTCATCAAATTGGTTGAAAAGATTGAAAAAAAAAACAAATTGATCGGAGAAATGAAGGAAATGTGAAAAATTAAAAGGTAAGAGAAAGAAAATAATATAATAAACTAATTGATATAAAAGATAAAAAAAGTAAAAAGTGGGTAGAAGAAAAGTAAAAATGATAAAATATAAAAAAAATGACCATGTAATAGAAAAAGAAAAGAAAATACTTTTAAAATATTAATATTTTAAAATTTAAATTTAAATAAAAAGTCGGGACAGAAAAGAGATTAGGGGGATTGCATTAATTATCCTTGCCCCGCCCCTCACTTTTTAAAATGGAGAAAACTCGAACCCACTTCCGTCCCGCCCCGATCAACTCGATTTTTCTTGTCAATTTCAAGACGATGACGGGTCGGGTACAAATTTAATTGTGATTCCTAAATAAGACATTATAGTATTTATTTTATGTGTTTAACAAATTATTTTATTTAATGTTATATTTATATGCATAATATAGCAAGACAAATTCAATCCATTTATCCTTTTTAATATATAGTTAATATCAAATAAAACTTTACCAACAAGTGAAATTAGTTTAAAGATTTAAAGTAAAATCTTAAGATAAGGGTGAATCATATTCATACAAAAAATAACAAAATTTTAATAATTGTAATTTAAGAAAATATTTTAACAAAAAATATTTTTTTATCATTCTAGAGGGTTATACAACTTTACCTTCTTCGTACATTATATTACAATAAAAAAGCATGAGCTTTCTTATTTCATTAGCAAAGTTTGCGAATATATACATAAATGATAAGAGCATCACCAGCATGAGTGAAAAGAATTTTGATATATTTACAAGGCACCATTGCCTATGGTCAACACTTTAAGAAGTCACTTCACCTCACTCTTCAAACATTTTATGATTCTGATGGAAGATTCGATCTTGATGATAGAAAGTCTTCAAGATGCTTTTGTATCTGATGTGTACATAAAGGTCCATGCGGATAAGGAGAAGGTTGAAGATCAAGATCCAATCCAAGATTTAGGTGGATTTATGACAAGAGGCAGACTCAGAAAAACACAAGAGACATTGTAATACAAAATGACCAATTTGCTAAAGGCCTAATTATTAAAAGATCCAAACATGGAGGAGTCTAGACCTATCACATGCATAGAATGTTTGGAGAGTTAGGAGGCCCAACTAAAAGATTTAGTTTTTATTATTGTTTTATTTGTTACAATGGGGATTTGAACCCAAGACCCAAAACTTATAATGTCTTCACTGAACCATCTGGGTAACTTAACTTTGCTTGGGATATTAGGATTTTAATTTATCTTTATTTCCTGCAATGAGACAAACTTATAAACTTAAGTTGTATTAAACATTTGAGAATTCAAAATGAATGTACGTAATATTCAGAATCATTTTGTGAGTTGTTGCTCTGCTAGGGTTCTTCCTTGCATCATTTGATCTTATCAAGAATTATCCAATTCTTGTGACGATCATTCTTGGCTTATCAAATATTCTTATTTATGGCGCCTACCAATCAAATCAATTCTTAAAACCTAAACTTAAATAGTTTCCCTTGTGTTCGAGCTCGTGAGTATCTATCTAAAAGCTTATTTTTTTATGTTCAATAAAGCAAAGAGTCGTGTCCAAAAGCAGCACCAAGACTGAGTTTCAAGGTCTTATTGCTGTTACTGCTGAGGTTCAAGATCATTGAAGGCATGTCCATGTCTTTCATTTATCTACAAAATTTTAGATGCTTACCAAGTTAATCTCTGACCTTTGACCTTTCAGTTTGAAGCTTTCTAAAGAAAACTCATGATCACCTTAAAAGATAAGCACGAGTTTAAGGAGTTGTGAAGGAAACTAATAAAATTAGTTAGAATTTTTTATGCTTTGGTTTTAAAGGTCTTAAGATATTATATTTTTATACTTTGTTATATACCATATTTGCTGCACCATTGATAAACAGTGTAAAAACAGCATTTAATTATGTTTATTTCGTACAATGTATAGTTAACAGTTGAATTTTCTAAAAATAGCAATTTTGATGAAATCTTTATATCTTTGTTCTTAGATTAATAGATTTTATACCTACACATACAACTTCAATAGTTTTCCATTTATAAGCAGAGATAAATTGATGATTCAAAATACATATTTATATAATAAGACCGAACAAACACAAAGCAACCATAGCTTACAACCTCAACAAATCCCAGAACATTTGGATTTGCAAAGGAAAACCATGATCACCTTATTATGAAACTCTAAATCGAGTTGGTTGAACCACACACAACACATAGTTATTATAATTGTTAAGTGTGTACTTTTGATACATATATTGTAGCTATCTCTGCTTCAAGCTTTGATCTTCACCTCACTTGCAGTTGCATGGGTCGCAAGTGCAGTTTGATCCACACTTGCAGCCACTGTCCTCAGCTGCAACACCCATTTCAGCACCTTCAAGTTGGGGCTTCACAGGCCCAACACCCAAAACCAGACTCTCTGTGGTTGTCTTCTCAGCATAGCTCATGTCAAAGGAGTACTTGCTGCAACTGTGGCACAAGAAAAATCAAACATTAGGTTCGTGAGATCATGTAAGAAAATCCATACAGAAGAAAAACTAGAAAACGGAAAATGTTGTTTTGGACAAGTAATGGAAGAATTTGCACAAAAAGAATATGACTGAAATATTGAATATTTTGTCCGACACGCAAAAGTGACTGAAAGGAAAAGGGAGTTTTCAAGAGACCCAAGTTCTACCCTCTTAAATTATTAATTACCAATTTTTTCAACAAGAATAAAGCATCAAATTTCATTCACTTTAATCAAAAGGGTACCCACAGAGCCATTCAAAACACCGGAAATCTTTCTTATTGGAGAGATAAACGATGGTGAAAGAGCAGAAAATTATTGCATGGTTCAGAGACTTACCAAACCACAAGGTGATCTCAACTATACGAAAAAAAAGTAAGGGATACAAGTTCTAAGAGGGTATTAAAAGCTCCAACCAAGATAAAAAAAAATTCCCAACAAGAAATATGAAACATATAAACTAATTCTGAAATTAAACAGCAAAAAATCATCCCTTAGAAACATGGGCAGAAGAAAAAATCAAATAACAATATTCACACAACTCAATAAGCCCGTTTGAGAAAAAAACACTAACAGATTAGAATTCACGTTTTCAGAAGTTAAAATCAAACATATTAGAAAAAGAAATGATTCATTACCCGCAGTTGCTGCCACAGCTGCAGCTACTTCCGCACCCACAGTTACTGCCACAGCCAGACATTTTCAAATTGGAAGAAGAGACGCAGAACAGAACTATGAAAAGATTATTGTTTTGCTGTTCGTTTGCTAAACTCACCCCAATGATTTTCCAACAAGCCTGACCCAAATTTATAGGGAATTGCTGAGAGAGTGTGAAATCTTGAACGTCCACGTGTCGAAATCCTGTGCATTGGGCACAATCTATCCTACGACTTTTCCCACTCCGACGTTGTTTTCGTCACTCGTCTTTATAATTTCTGCGGTGTACAATAACGATAATCACATTTAATGTGCTTCGAAGCATACGTAACACACGATACATGAGGTTCGTTTTTATTAAAAGTTTCTTCTTTTAATTTCAAACATTCTTCTCCCTAAACCTTTTTACGCAATTTTAATTTTAATTCTCTTTGTGATTTTATTTAATTTTCCATTTTGAAATATTTTTACCTCTATTAAATTATATTTAACATTTCTATATAATTGTTATCCTCTAAAAAAAATTAGTTTGTATAATTAAATTTCTTTTTAGGAAAAGAATGGACGTGAAAGTTAAGTGAAAAAGCAAAATGAATGGCTACGAGACAAAGTATGAAAAGATTTCTAGACTCTTCTGTGACATTAGTAGTATCCAAAAGTTCAATTCTTATTTTTCTTCATTCAATAATCATGGAATTGTTATGTTGGTTTAAATAATTGTTACGCAAAGTCTTTGTCTTAGTTAAGACAGTGTTTTGAGCCAACCTTTAATTGGTTATATCTTTTGTACACAATGGAATTTGGTGTTTTTCTAAATTTATTTGACTTTTATTGTTTTAAGAATAATTTAAACGTTTTTATAATATATTTTATTACCTTTTTTCATTGATGTTTAGAAAGAATTGAAGGAAAGAATAAATAAAGGATTCCCACCCAGAACATCATCCTCTACTGTCACCAAACATGTCCAATTCAACAACAAATTCCAATTTTTGATGTAATCGATCAAAACTGATTCACAACACAAAGAGTCCCACCCTAAAGAGTTAATGTTTTCAAAACCAGTATGCTTTACAAGCACATCATCAATGGCGAGAGGTAAAAGATAAGAAAAAGAAATCCAAAAGTTATAACAGGAAACAATGTTGCATCTTCCTTCTACAATCATATACTGTATGGGTGGATCCAACAGACCCAGCATATATTCGTATTCATATATCTTTCCAATTCCTCTCTACAATTAATATATATTCTCCATTTCATTTCTTGACATGGCCATGGCTTCAAGTGGGAAACAAAAAGAGGACCTACATTTGTTTTTCCTGAATTTGGTCAGAAGTCTTCCTATATATTCTTAATAAAAGCAACTAATGTTCTTTTGGTTGGATAAGTATGATTACTATATTATTTAAATAAATTATATATATATATATATATATATATATCCAATTTTAAATAAAATTTAAATATGTATTATTTATTAAATAATAATAATAATAATAATAATAATAATAATAGAATAAGTATCTTAATTTATATATATAATATGGTCTAAAATTTAATAATTTATTTTAATTATTAAATCATAAAAAAATAAACAATACAATAAAACTTTTATTTTTACTCGGAAAGTGAGAATAAGTGATATATATATATATATATATATATATATATATATATATATATATATATATATATATATATAATTATATCTATGTAGAATACTCGATAAACAACATCAATTATGACAAACTTTGACAATCTTAAATAAGTACCAACGAATTTAGATATTTTGGTAGTATAATGAGTTCCATAACTTTAAATATATTACTTTGTTGTTAATTTTTTAAATATTTATTATTTCTATATATAACTAAAACATCTTATTTATATTTTTTAATAATTTTTATTCAAACTTATATTACATTTTATCCTATTTTTATATATTATACTAATTTAATTGTCGAAGAATCTTCATTAGTAAATCTTTATCGTGACGACGTTATTATCATATTTTCAACAACGGGAACAATTATGATATTTAAAATATAGATAAAAAAAATGTATTTCAAAAGGTGAAGATGAAATGGTTTGGAAGAAGATATTGGAAGTGAGAGTGGTATGAATGGTGGGGTCAAACTGAAGTCGTACCGCTTGTTGTGGACATGGAATCCCTTTCCAGTTGTGACCTAAAAGCTCCTTCAGTAACTTTTTCACCATCAACACGATTCTACACCTTTATTCATATAGCTGAACATTAGGATTTGACAATTTCTTCACTTATAAAGAAGAAAAAAATTTGTATATATAAGTTAAAATTATTTTCTATAAGTTAAATTATAAAATATCTTTCATATATATAATTCTATTTTTCATAGAAATCAAGGTTAATAAAATATATATATATATATATATATATATATTATTAACCATGCAAAAGTAGAATATATATATATATATATATATATATATATATATATATATATATATATATTTTGGATGTTGATCTTCAATTCAAGGACCAAATAAGACAGAAAAATATGAAACACTAAAATGTTAAATTTATAAATATACACATATATTTAATAATTATTAAAATTGGAGACTAAAATTATAAATACTAATATAAGTTACAAACTTTTAAAACAAATATAATATACATTCGTATACTAAATATTAACATAAGTTAAATGTGACGTATGTTTTTTTTTAATATTACGATAATATTATTGTGCAAGAAAACTTTGTAACGATGTTTTCCTTATATATAGTACAAATTTTCTTTTATATATGCGCGTACAAAAAGGGAGAGGAGACATCAACAAGTAGTTCTCCCTCTGATCATTCTTCTTCTTTTGTCTAAATTTCAGGCAACGAGACTCTACTCGTGCATGATCTAGTGAAACGGGAGAAGACTTGAATTAAGTGAGAAAACTTCGGTAAAAATACCACACCAGGTAAGGGGAAGTTTAATTCATTCAATATATGAAATTGAATTGTTGGGTATTCTGTGAATAAGGAATAGAAGTAGACATATGAATTATTTGAATGTCTGATTTTGAAGAATTTTTTATTCTGATGAACTATTCATGGTTTGAAATTTTTTGAAATTCTTAAAATTAAGGATGAATTATATGGTAAAATTGTTGTTTTCAACTTAAATTAGATATAATTCATGTTTAATTTCGATTTGAGACTAGTTTGGTTGCACTGAAACTTAGAAATTGGAAATCTGGAAAAATATGGTATGGTTACTTGGGCGAAGGAAGAAGAAAGGGATATGGTGGAGATTTAAAAAAAAAATCAAGGGTAAAATAGTCATTTTACATCCTAGGGACATAAATGGAATTTTTGAAAATGTCCAAGGGCAAAATAGTCATTTTTGGGACATGGAAGGAATTTTAAGAAAAGATTAAGGGTAAAATAGTAATTTAATGATTTTGGAAATGATTTCCGAAATGATTTTGGAAATGGTTTCAAAAATAATTTCAGAAATAACTTTGGATATATATATATATATATATATATATATATATATATATATATATATATATATATATATATATATATATATATATATATATATAGAATGAAAGTAGCATTTCTAAAGAATCATCGGTGTGTTGTGACGTGTGTGGGTTAGACTGAGTTTGAGGGTTGATGCCCAGAATCAGTCATGAGACTATATATTGGCTAGACTGAGCCGGAGGGTTGGTGCCCAGAATCAGTAAAATACTATTATTTATTGACCCAAATGAGCCGTGAGGACAAGTGATCCAGAATTCGGCATATGTGAATGATTTTTGTTGTGTTTGAATGGTACCCGGGGTGGTACAGAGTACATTAGTGTAATAACTATGTCGGAGGATTCTAAATGAGGTCCCAAACTTTACTGATTGGTCGGGTCAGGTAGATTACGAGATTAGGTGGTGAGAAGTCAATGGGGGATGACTGGTGGCGCGCTCAGAGGGGTACTCCAGTATGAGTGATGAAAGGTGCCAGTAATCCTACTCTGTATGGAGGGTGGTCAGAATGGTATTGCGGGTGCCGATCACAATGTGTCCACAGATGATAGCCTCTGAGTTCGGGCATAGTTAGAGTATACTTCTGTAAGGTGTCTTAGTGTGTTGATGATTTTGTAATTGATCATAGTATATAATTATTACTTCTATATCTGTTTTATTATATCGAATGATTTAATACTTACCCCTATTTTTTCACGTGGATGGGACTGCGATGATCACTTTTATGTGGGAGCAGATTAGGAGTTGAGAGGTAGAGATGTGACTACTAGACAACAGAGATAGTTCAGTAGGATAACTTTGTGGGAACTACTTTTATATGTATAATATATAAATAAATTATGTTACTATGTTTTGAGGTTCCGTTAATGAACTGAAATTTCAATCTATGTTACAATTATAGTAATATAATGTAAGATAAATGTCGTTATTTACTATTTTGCGAAGACATCATTATAATAACGATTTCTAGAATCGTTACATTAATATCAGAGTCTCACGGGTCCAGTCAAAATGAAAAATAGTTAATATATATACTTCTTCTTTTATCTGTTAACATAGTTTTTATGATGAAAGTATAACAATTAACACTAACAATTCTTACTTGAATTAAGAAGACAGTCTAGCCTACTTTTCGAATAGGAATTGAAAACAATAATATTTATAATACTTAAATTAGTATGAGAAAATATAATATAACTATTTTAGAATTTAAAAAATATTTTTTCTATTTATCAACTATAAGCGAAATATATATATATATATATATATATATAACATATTAGTTTTATTTATTTATTTATTTTAAAAACTATTAAAAAAAAGTTTTAAACCTTTATTTATATCACTTAAATGAGCGTTTGATAATTATGTCTAAGTTAAGAAATTGTTTAATATTAAAATAAAATTGGTGTTTCCCGCGGATTTTTGAACAACTTTATGAATAAAATAGATGATTACTCATAACCTTTTATGAGGTTAAGTTGAGTTAAGTGATAGAAGAAGGTTAAGTCTTTATAAA